AACCTGAAGCACCACTTTAGCTAATGCGCCGCCGGAGCACAATTTCTGTTCTCATCCTGAAGCAAATTCTTAACCTGAAGCATTATTTCTGGGTTAGCGGAGTCTGTAACCTGAAGCATATGTAACCTGAAGCACCACTATATTCATAGAGAACAAGGCAACCTCAGTAGCTGTAGGACTCTGAGCACTGGCTAGGACACCAAGATACACTGCCACATTTTGCTGCAGTTGCCACCTGTCTCATCCCTCTGAACGGATGCTAAACTGAGCAGAGGCTGCCCACCTCCCCAGCCAAACGCTATTTGTCTGTGCCTGAGCTAAGCTGCCGAATGCTCTCTCAGCGCATCGTAAGAGTACGGCTTTACGACGCACCTCCTGCAGCAAAACCGCCTCTCTTCCCACAGCGGCCTTACTCACTCCGATCGGCACCGTGGGACATGCTCCCGGCTCCGTCCGGATCTGTGGGGTAGGGTGTGGGGCAGAAGCAGATGCCCCTTTGTGTTTGCTTCTCTGACCTTGATGGGTTGGGGCGGCGGAACAACGACAACACCCCACCGTGCTGGGTTCTCCCCGGCAGCTGGCGGCACGCTTAATGCTCGAAAGCCGAAGTGTGCTAGCCAGCTGAGTCGCTCTAAGCAGCTTACAGCCCACGATTTAAGATCCCAGTTAGTCATTGTGGAACCAGATGTCCAGCATGCAGGGCGGTGGAAAAGAGGAGCAAGGAGGCTTTGATCCACTTCTAATTAGAGCTCCGTCCTCAAGACGAGCCGGGCAAATTAGCTCCAGAACAACCCAGTCTGTTTGGCCGGCGGCGGCAGCAGAACCACATGCTGACGTCTTGCCTGTAGAAAAATATCTTCTGTGAATTATTTCAAGCAATTCTCTAATGCCCGCAATAATCATCGCTCAAGAGCAAAGACATACGACTTCAGGGATCCGCACGCTGCCTCTTTAGCCAAACATGGCTCCCACCTGAGCGACTTAGGAAAATCAACGCTAAGCGGGTCCCTGCCCTCAAGTTTTACAGTCTAAAAGGACATAACGTACAAGGGAAAAGGGAGGAGGAGGGAGGAGGGGAAGCAAGCTCAGGTGACACCCTTACACAAATATTTTTTCTGATTCTAAGACAATGCACTCCTCAGGACACACCATAATCGTGCATCTTACCCCATGTCAAGACGTAGAAAGACAAAGAACGTATTTAATTTCTAATTCTCATTACTTCCTCAATATTCGAACCAATTCCTAATAATTTAACCTCCCCTTTCGCAAACGTGAGCACATCTATTTCCTACCTGAGTTGCCAATGACTTTTCTCCCAATACAATTTCATTTATTTATTTACTTATTCAATCAATCTTTGTCTGAAGATCCCAGCATAAAAACGCAAGATATATATTTACATATGCAAATATACACACACATATATAAAACAGGAACAAAAACAAAACAATGGGCCCCCCTCCCCTGTATCTCTTACTCTATCTCTTTCCTTTTTTATAATTTTTATTAAATTTTCTGTTATACAATTTAAAGTACTCATTTTTACATCCTTAAAATATCAATGACCTTCCTTCTTTTTCCATGGTTCATTTTACATATCATAAATCCCTGCATATTTTACAAAAACTATACCAATCGGTTTTCCATTATTGCACCCATCCAAACTTATTTACACTGTTGAAATTATCTTAATGCTGCCAGCGTATTCAGCTGTACACAATTATTTCCCATATATTCAATAAACATTCTCCAATCTTCTCTAAATGTATGTTCTCCTTGTTCTCTTTTTCTATATGTTAAGTCTATGAGTTGTGCATATTCTGTCAACTTAAGTTGCCATTCTTCTTTGGTTGGGACCTCACTCGTTTTCTATTTTGGGGCTAACAAAACAAGGGCATACATAAATAATCTTTTTTGACACCTGGGAATTTCAGTCTGAATTATCCCCAACAGAAAAGACTTTGGGTTTTTGGGAAAGTACTTTAAAACATTTTTTTCCCCCAATTCATTATGGATCATTTCCCACTGTCTCTTTCCTAAACCTTTCGGAAAACATAATAAAAAAAATTAATAGGATCACTTGAGCTTGATTGACACACCAGCCACAGTCCAGGGGGGCAGTGGTTGGCTGGTACCCATTCACACTGGTGGAGGCCAACAGCAGGGGGCGCCAGAGCCAATGGCAGGTGGAGACAACTTATTCCAGATTTGCCTCCACCTCCTGCCTGCTGGGCTCTACAAGGGGCAACGCTGAGACTAAACAAGGAGGGAGCCACCCCAGTTAAGGCCACCCCACCCTGGTGGACTCCAGGGAAGCCTCAGCTTACCAGACGCCACATAGCCGCTCAGAAAAGGAGGGATGTTCTCTTTCTTCCTGCCTCTCGGCATCCTGTCCAGGTCCTCCACACCTGCGTCGTCCCTTTAAACCCAAGACCAAGCCTGCAACAGAAAACCCGGGTGACGCCACAGCACCAACTGCCTGGAAGATCAAAGCAACAGGAGGTAAACAAAGCGATCTTCTTCGCTGCTATTCGTGCATCCCAGCGGGGTTGGACTAGATGACCGCACTGGGTCCCTTCCAACTCCATGCTGCTATGATTCTAAGGCAAGTAACGGCTCTGAAAGTCAGTATGGGCTACTGAGCGGCCATACATTTAAAGCACACCCTCCCCCCCCCAAAGAATCTTGGGAGCTGTAGTGCTTACTGTTAAGTTGTGGGTGAACACGACACAGCAATTCTTCAAACAGCTCTTGTTTTTTCACAGGCCAGAAATAGTACCTTGGGTTAAGAACTTTGCTTCAGGATGAAGCTGCGCGGCAGCAGCAGGAGGCCCCATTAGCTAAAGTGGTGCTTCAGGTTAAGAACAGTTTGAGGTTAAGAACGGACCTCCAGAACGAATTAAGTACTTAACCCAAAGTACCAATGTACTCCTAATCACGTTCCTTTTTAACCAAGCCTTTGGTTGATCTGATTTGCATTCTATGCCCTTTTTAAGTGGGGTTTTTTTTTGGGGGGGTGCTATTGGGTTTTTGTTTTTATTATGTATTTTGTGGTTTTATATCTTGATTTTATTCTGTGAACTGCCCTGAGACTCCCCAGGTATAGGGTGATATATAAATTCAATTAATAATAATAACCAGCACCGATCTGTTTGGGGCTTGGTGGCCCCAATCCTGCATCCTGCACTGGATAACCTCCCTGCTCCCAGATCCGCATTTGTCTTCAGGGGGTTGTTTATTCCTGATTCACCCCCTTCCGATTTGCATGATGCGAGTGGTTTTCTGGTGGCCCTAGGCCATTGCATTCAGGCCTGCTCTGCACTCCTTCTACCTAAGAACGGAAGAGGAGCCCCGCTGGAGCAAATCGGGAAAGCCTCTCCTCCTAACCCAGTATCCTGTTCCCGACGGCGGACAGCCTTGACACCGCTCGGGTGGGGAGATCTCACCTGTGTCCCTGCCAAAGAAATAACCGAGCCAAGCGACTGTCCCTCAGTGAGGAGGGAGGACAGGGGAGAAGCCCCCGAGACGAGGCGGAGGAAGAGACTCCCTTTCCGTTGCAAACCAAGCTCCCGCGCCTTCCTTTCAACCGAGGGAAATGCAACGGGGGGAAGCCAAGGGGGGCTCGGACAGCCCACAGCCGCCGCAGCCTCTCCGATGGGGCCGCGGCAGGGATCTCGAGAGGGGCGCGCAAGGGCCGGAAAGGCGCCGCTTTGCTGCACGTTTCGCGGGGCTGACTTGCCCCCTATTTATTCACTTACTACTTACTACATCCCCTAATGCAAACACGCTCCTTTGTTGGTATGCCTCTGTGACTCCCATCGCTAGGAAAATTAGAGCGAATTATATAGCCAAGATAGCCCCCAACTGTAAAGGAGATGAATTTATTTGACCCTATCTAAATCTCTATGTGGGACAAGAAGCTACAGTTAGAACTGGATATGGAACAACTGCCAGATGCAGCTTGTCACGCTGGCCACGTGACCCGGAAGTGTCTCCGGACAGCGCTGGCCCCCGGCCTCTTGAGTGAGATGGGCGCACAACCCTAGAGTCTGTCAAGACTGGCCTTCGGGCAGGGGTACCTTTACCTTTACCTTTTTAAAATGAGGCTGCATTTTAAATTGCATTTTAACCTGTATTTTAACCTGTAGCCAGTGTGGTGTAGTGGTTAAGAGCGGTAGTCTTGTCTCCGCTCCTCCACCTGCAGCTGCTGGGTGACCTTGGGCCAGTCACACTTTTCTGAAGTCTCTCAGCCCCACTCACCTCACAGAGTGTTTGTTGTGGGGGAGGAAGGGAAAGGAGAATGTTAGCCGCTTTGAGACTCCTTAAAGGGAGTGAAAGGCGGGATATCAAGTCCAAACTCTTCTTCTTCTTCTTCTTCTTCTATTTTAAATTGCCTCCCCATCTCTTTCCCCCCTATTATGTTTTTACAGTGATTTTATTGGTGTTAGCCACCCTGAGCCCGGCTCTGGCCAGGGAGGGTGGGGTATAAATAAAAATTTATTATTATTATTATTATTATTATTATTATTATTATTATTATTATTATTGCAGTGCACAAACTATGGAACTCACTCCTGGTCAACTTGGATGGCTTTAGAAGAGGATTGGACAAATTCACGCGGGACAACTGGCTATTGTGGTTTATTATTACGGGGCGAGTGCTTTGGAGCTTGAGTTCTGCTTGTGGGTTTTTCCTTGCTGCATCTGGTTTGCAACCATGGGATGCTGGACTAGATGGGCCTTTGAGCAGCTCAGTTGGTTAGAGCATGGTGCTGATAATGCCAAGGTTGCAGGTTCAATCCCCGTATGGGACAACTGCGTATTCTTGCGTTGCAAGGGGTTGGACTAGATGATCCCCAGGGTCCTCTATGATTCTTCCATGACTTCTGTTTCCCCCCCCCATCCCTCCCCATTTAGCAACCACCCAGCTCCGTTCACCTGTTACAGCTCAAACCAACAAGTGAGCCTAGCAAAAGAAGCCAGCGCCATTATCAAACTCAAGACTGGAATGTTTTATTAAAAAGGTTCTTTAATTTTCTTCAGGAAAACAATCATACATACAAAGATCATGGGAAGAAAGGAAGGCTGTGTGTTTTCTCTAAGGCACAAAAGTGTTTTTGAGAGAGAAAAACGATCAGCACACCGACAGCAGTCATCAGAAGGTGTGTGCCTGCAGCAAATCATCGGCAGAAAAATGGCACAGTTGCAGCAACGGGCAAGGGCATGGATTGCTCTTTGGAAATAATATTAGCTGGAGGATCTGTCTGCTTACAGGAGCCAGCTAATAACTCTCTTACTGAGTCTCTTAGTGAGGGGGGGGACTATTTTATGGGGGGGCTACTCTTCCCAGGGTAGCCTTGAGAGGCTCAATCGATCAGCATCAATGTGGCTGGAAAAAAATACAGAGAACTTTGCTATTGCAGAAGGAAATTGCAGAGAGTTGTACATATGACATTTCTGGGATCGGGGGGGGGGGGGGGGACTTTAAAACATCGTTGTCCAAGGTGCGCTCTGGATTTGCAGCAGAAACTATGACAAAACCCTCAAGTCGAAGCCACAGGCTGCTTTGTTTGCAAAGTTTTTTTCCTCCCCTCCTAGACTGGTTTTTAGAAACCACGCTTCCTCTGGTGGGGAGGAAGAAGTGGGGTTGGGGCTAAGTGGCGAAGACGGTTTTGTTCCCCAGCGCAGAAAGGAAAGGGCCCAGTGTTCTTTGGACGGTTCAGGGGACGCCTCCATAAGGAGGAGGTGGGGAGGCCTTGGTAGCCACGTCTGGGTAGGGGCGCAGCGGATCCGGGTGGTCGATGGGCTGGTACGAGCTGCGGTCCTGCCCGACGTTGAGGACACCTGTGCAGAAGGAAAGGGGAAAGCGACAGCTTTTAGCCTTCGGATGCAGCACCCAGGGTTCAAGGTGTTCCCAGCAAGAATCTAAGTGCTGGGATGAGCTGCAACTGGAGAGCTAGCTGTAATTTTCTGAGCCTTTACAGCCCCCAATACCTTGCATCAATGGGACGCGGGTGGCGCTGCGGGTTAAACCACAGAGCCTAGGACTTGCCGATCAGAAGGTCGGCGGTTCGAATCCCCGTGACGGGGTGAGCTCCTGTTGCTCAGTCCCTGCTCCTGCCAACCTAGCAGTTCAAAAGCACGTCAAAGTGCAAGTAGATAAATACCGGTAGGTACCGCTCCGGCGGGAAGGTAAACGGCGTTTCCGTGCACTGCTCTGGTTCGCCAGAAGCAGCTTAGTCATGCTGGCCACATGACCCGGAAGCTGTACGCCGGCTCCCTCGGCCAATAAAGCGAGATGAGCGCCGCAACCCCAGAGTCGGTCACGACTGGACCTAATGGTCAGGAGTCCCTTTACCTTTATACCGTGCATCACAGCTCTGACCGCTGGCCATGTTGGCTGGAGGGCTACTGTTTCTCCACCTCTGAACTAGACCGTCACTTGTCTTCACTGCCCCTAGGGACCACTGACCATGGCAGCTGCGGCTGATGGGAAGCAGAATCTCATCTCAAATGCTGCAGGTTCCCCATCAATGAACCAGACCATCACTTGCCTTTACTGCCCCTGTTCCTTCTCAGTTCTGCCATCTTTTTTTTATGCATGGCCAGGCAGCCTGGTTGATGGACAACAAATCCCATCCTTGTCCCTATTGGCCATGCTGGCTGATGGGAGTTGGCAGTCCAACCATGTTTGGAGAGTCACAAGTTTCCTTAGCCATTGCACTTCTTTGTCCATTGCCAGTAATCAATTTCCAAAATGAGGGATAGGTGCTTTGTGTCCAGGAAACCTCGCCTCTCAGGTGGCACTTTTGGTTGCTGTGAGCGACTAGGTGGGGAAGCACTCTGCACATGCTCTACGGTACCTTCTTTATGCAAACACTCTAGACTCCATTGGCCCAGTCTTAGATGACTTTAAAAATACTTGGGTCTACCTATGGTAAGATAAAAGGTCAAGGCCCCCTTGACTGTTAAGTCCAGTCAAAGGCGACTATGGGGTGCGGCGCTCATCTTGCTTTCAGGCCGAGGGAGCCGGCATTTGTCCGCAGACAACTTTCCAGGTCATGTGGCCAGCATGACTAAACCGCTTCTGGCGCAACAGGACACCGTGACGGAAACCAGAGCGCACGGAAACGCCGTTTACCTTCCCGCCGGAGCAGTACCTATTTATCTACTTGCACTTTGATGTGCTTTAGAACTGCTAGGTTGGCAGGAGCTGGGACAGAGCAACGGGAGCTCACCCCGTCGCGGGGATTCGAACCGCCAACCTTCTGATCAGCAAGCCCAAGAAACTCAGTGGTTTAGACTACAGTGCCACCCTCGTCCCTAGGGTCTATCTATGATGGAGCTGTTGACCACCAAAGCTAAACTGAGCCTCCCAAACCAGAGACAGTCTACCTCTAAAGGCCAGCTTTTAGAACAGGGGCAGGCACCTGTGACCTTCTGAATGTTGCTGAACTTCCAACAGCCATCAGCCAGAATGGTGCTGGAATCCAGCAAAATCTGGAGGGCTACAGGTTCTTCACCCATTAAAGGAGAGCAGAGTTGTGACGGAGGCAGCCGGGGCCTAGAAAGGCACATGGGAGTAATAGAGTTACAACAGAGGCAGCTAGGGGGAAGGAAAGGCAAGTGATGATCTTTGGGCCTGAGGAAGAATCTGTAGCCCTCCAGCCTCCATTAACCCTCAGGCAGGGATGGTGGGAGTTGTAGTTCATGTGTAGTCCAGCAACCATGAGGGACAAGTGTTCACCACCCCTGAAATGAGGGGGGACACACACACCATTACAGACATATGCCCCACTCGTGTGATTTCTAGTCATTGATAGCAACAGGACACTGGATTAGGTAGGCCTTTAATAAGATTTCTGTTTTCGTTAGGTTTCAATTCAAGTGTTGCTTTGTTTAAATGTGTAAAATATCACAGTGTTTCCTAGGACTTAAATCATTCCAAAGAAAAATAAGTTATTCTGGTCAAATGAAAGTTGAGCCTCCATGTTCAGAGGCAATCTATCCCTGGATAGCAGGTGCTGTTGACAAACAAAATGGCATTGAATGCAGCCCCCCCCCCCAAAAAAAAACCCCACATCTGGTTCACTGTTGGGGAAAGGATTCAGCCCTCGATAGTGACTTGGTCCAAAGCCGTCAGAGCTCACTTCACATTAAAGTAAAATCTCTCAGAAGCACACTTTGGACATTCATTATTATTATTTTTTACTAAAGAGTTGCTTGGCAAGAGATGGAGGAGTCAGCAATTCAGTGGGAGTAAGGCCCACTGAACACAGTGGAACTGGTTTGTGAGTAGACAAATTGCCAGCCCATGCAGTTTGTTCAGAAGTAAGCACCACTGAGTTCAGCTTACATTCAGGTAAATGTACATAGGATCACCGAGCCTTCCTCAGGAGATACATATAGAAAGCACGCTGTCCAAATACAAGAACTCATTTTTACATGAGATGGGTTGTAGCCAACATTAGTTGAATTCAGAGTAGACCCACTGAAATTAATGAATACAACTTAGGCCCATTAATATGAATGTGTGTCCTCTTAGCAGAACTAAGTAGAGATCTGCACTATATATTCAAAGCACATAACTTTCACACAAAGAATCCCGGGAACTGTAGTTTAAGGGTGCTGGGAACTATAGTTCTGTGAGGGGGGGGAAAGTTCCCAGGATTCTCTGGGGAAATTTGTGTGCTTATTTAATTGCATTTATATCCCACATTTACCTGAGGAACTCAAGGTGCCACACCCCCACCCTCATTTAATCATGAAACTCATTTTTTAAAAAAAGTTTTTATTAAAAAAACAATTCATAACACAATAACCACTGCACTACACTGGCTCTCACAAGTGTGCAATGGATGTGTTTAAAATTTGTGGTGTACTTTAGTTTGATATTATATATGTGTGTATGATTCTTTCAGGCGGTCGTGGTTAAGACTCCTCCTAATATACCCCACTGACCTCATTCTCTGCAGTTTGCAAAACAGGCCCAGAAGCAGAAGGGTCCAAATATGGCTCAGAAAGGACACTGCTATCAACAAAATGATGGTTGAAAATGATGAATTGGCACTAATAAGCTGCCATCAACACTCCTTGCTTCTTTGAAGAGACAATGTGCTCTGGTCTATAGGACCGACACCTTTATTTGAGTCCCAAAAGGTCCCCCCATCAAAAAAACCAGAAACACCCAAAAAACACAGAGAAATTTCATCATAAAAGGTGAACCAGTCTTTACAGATCCCCAAAATGTTCTTACAAATCAGGAGCAGGAAACCAAAGAGCTAAAGGTACCCCATATCTGTTTTAAATAAATTCCTCTTTTTTGCAGAATACAGATATGGAGGGCACCTTTCTGAAAAGGAGGGTATCACGGATACCCTCCTTTTCAGAACCAGGGGACAAGGACATAAAATAAAAAGGCTGCACAGAGTAAGTTGACAGGATTTTATTCCCTTCTCCGCTGAATACTGTGATCATTGAAGCTTAATTCTCTCATTGCAGCTGGGGGATACCTGAATCCAACCAGTGCAAGTAAAAACAGCCATTGTTGCAAGAACCTCGGCCCTAAGCTGATTCCGGAGAGATCTATGGCTTCCCTCTTGGAATCGTAGCTTGCTAAAGGGAATCAAAGAAGTCTAAAAAAAAAAAATTAAGAACCTCAAAAGCCACGACAGTTTCTACACTAGGAGTAGCTGGCAGGTGATGTCAGGACTCCCAAATCCCATCAGCCCCAGCCAGCATGGCTAGCGGTCAAGGGATGATGGGAGTTGTAGTCCAACATCTAGAAAACACCACATGGGCTACCCCTGTGCTTACACTTCTGTTGCCAAGGCTACACACCCTCATATCAAAGGGCCTATTTGACAGAGCAATTCTTCATATCAACAGACCTCTAGTGCCTTAAGGGCGGCCATCTTGCTCTCAGACCTATTCTTCCTATCAAAAGGCCTCTACTGCCTTAAGGGCGGCCATCTTGCTCTCAGACAAATTCCTCATGTCAAAAGGCCTCTATTGCCTCAAGGTCGGCCATCTTGCTCTCAGAGACCTTTTCTCCTCACTTTTGTTGACCTTCATTAAAAAGTGTTTTTAAAAAGCTTCCAGGAGGAAGGTGGAGGCTAACACTTGTCTCCAAATGAGCAGGAATGCATACAAAGGCAAGAAAACTTGATAAACAAAAGAGAAAGGCATTTCAGTAATGGCAAATGAGGGATAAAGCAGTGGAGTCAATACCATCCTGGGCAGAATATCGCTCCGACGAAGCCTCCCAGTCTGCAAGGGAAAAGAAATCAAACAGAGGGAGAAAAGGATGCACAACTTAAGAAGGAAGATGAACGGGAAGCTGACAAGAGAGAAAAAAGAAGGGGGCGGTAGTTTGGCTAAGATCGGCAGGGCCAAAGAACATGGTGGGCCATATGGGAGAGAACATGAGGGCCGGGACCGTCCACAGAGGACCAAAACCCAGGCCGCCGATTGAGCGATGGCCGCCTACCTAGGTTGAAGGCATACTCTCCTCCACGTTCCCGGTACATCTGGTAGGCAAAGAAGCAAGACAAGGGCTTGAGGAGGAGGCTGAAGATGGCCATGCCGGCGCTGAAGCGGGTAGTGTCAGGCAGCGAAGACGACTGAGGGTAATACAGGCTGAAGTGGATTATGTCCGTCAGGATCGTCAGCAGAAGTCCAGTGAGGAACTGGAAGGAGAGAAAGGGGTACAAGACACTGCTCACCCTTCCCTTCATTCAACTATAGCCTATAAAGCCAAGGACGTGGGTTGTCTATGGCCTCTCGGGTTGTGATGGAGGCAGATGGGGGCAGTGAACTACCACTCCCATCAGTCCCAGCCAGCATGGCCGACCATCAGGGATGATGGGAAGCATGAGTTCAACCATGGACAGAGGACCACAGGTTGCCCAACTCTCCATGAACAAAGATGGAGGTCACCGGGGGCAGTGAAGGCAAGTGATGGTTGCCTTTCTGAACTACCACTCCCATCAGTCCCAGCCAGCATGGTCAACAGTCCAGGATGATGGGAAGCGGAGTTCAGCCATGGACGGAGGGCCACAGGTTGCCCAGCTCTCCATGAATAAAAGGCATTGTTGTGACGGAAGTCGCCGGGGGCAGTAAAGGCAAGAAAGGGTCTATTTCAGGGACAGAGGACCAACCAATATAGCCTATAAACCAGGGAACCTGCAGTTCTCCAGATGTCGTTCCACTCTTGTCAGCCCCAGCTGACGTGGTTCAACAGCCAGGGATGATGGCGGTTTGTGGTTCAACAACAACTAGAGGACAACCGGTTTCCCATCTCCGGTATACAGTGGTACCTCTGGTTACATACTTAATTCGTTCTGGAGGTCTACTCTTAACTTGAAACTGTTCTTAACCTGAAGCACCACTTTAGTTAATGGGGCCTCCCGCTGCTGCCGCGCCGCCGCACGATTTCTGTTCTCATCCTGAAGCAAAGTTCTTAACCCGAGATACTATTTCTGGGTTAGAGGAGTCTGTAACCTGAAGTGCATGTAACCTGAAGCGTATGTAACCCGAGGTACCACTGTATACCAATAGCGGACTCATTCTTTTGAGTGCCAAAAAAACAATCGCGCATGCACAAGAAGGCCATCAGCAGGCATGGAGATGTTCAACGGTTTGCAGAAGCACAACCCGCGTATCAAAATCCCCTTGTGCAACATTTCCAAGCACTGCAAAGCCAGGGCACCTGGGAACAGGCAGCACCTCCCTTTTGCTGTAAAAGGGGGGGGGGGAGATGTGAAACTGGAAGGAGTGGAATGGAGTCTCCTGAAACGAGGGTACAGCTGGCTGGCTGGCTGGCTGGCTGGCTGGCTGGCTGGCAGCCTGAATAAAAAGATTCCAGGCAGCAAGGCTTTGTTACAAGTCCTAATTGTACCATGGTGACCAGCCCACCTCTCATAGGCATGTTAAAACTAGGGACAACCACCTTGAAATAAAAAAATCCACCAAAATCCTTTTTCATCAGGCAAATGTATTCGTAAAACGGTGATTTGGGTGAGTTTTTTAAACAACAGCAACAACAACTTACCATGAGGATTGCATCAATAGAATCCCTTTGGGCCACTGCCCAGACGCCCAGGGCGAGAATGGTGAAGTTGCCCCACGGGTAGGAAATTGGCAGCCAGTATGCCATGCAGCCCCTGTCCAGGGCAGAAGAGGATGATGAGCAAAAGAAAGAAAATAAAAGAATGTGAGAAGCGCCTGCTGGATCTGGCCAATGGCCCATCTAGTCCAGCATCCTGTTTACACAATGGCCAAACGGATGTCTCAACAGGAAACCCAGAATCAGGATTCGAACACAAGAGCAGCTCCTGCCTCCTGCCCTTTCCAGCAACTAGTATTCAGACGCATTGCTACCTCCAACTGTGGAGGCAGAGCAAAGCCACCCTGGCTAGTAGCCAGTGACAGCATGATTAAATCATTCCAAAAGCACTTAAAAACAACAACAGTATTCTTCAGCCAGCAAATGCAACTGGGTTACAAGGAGCATTTTCAAATTCTTCCTGAAAGTTAATAGGGACGGAGACAGGCACCCCTCACTAGGGAGGGTGTGCCACAAATGAATTAATCAACAGATTACCGTAATTAAACGCGGTATTACTAACTTACCATGTCGTCAGCAGCCAGTGTACCAGGATGATAGCCTGCAAGTGGAAAGGAGAAAATTATGTAGCCCGATTATTAATCTCCCAAAATATCTAGATAGCACTGTGCCATAGGAATTTATCGCAACAGTTTACAGCAGTATAAAATAAAACCATAAAAAGTTAGAAACAAGTTAAAAGCAAAAGAGTTAAAAGCTAATATCAGTAGAACATTGTGGGGGAAGTACTCTTAATTGCCTACATCAGCCTGGAATAACAGAAAGGTTTTCAGCAGGTGTTGGAAAGCTGGCACAGAAAGCGCACCTGGCTGAATCTCTAGTGGCAGAGAGTTCCACAGGACTGGGCCGATGGCACTAAAGGCTCAGTTACTCATTGTTGTCAAATGAGCCCCCCCAACTTGCAGAATAACAGCGACACTCCTGCAGACGATCTTAGTGAGGGTTCAGGCGATCCTTGCGTTATCGTGGACCTAAGTTGTTCAGAGCTTTGCAAATTACTGGAAGAATCTTGAGCCTGGCTTGGTAGTAGATGGGCAGCCAGTGCTTTTACAAAGGCGTCCCAAATTCTTGACGAGAAGCTCCTGTCAGCAATCTGGACGCAGCGTTCTGAACCAGACCCAAGGGCAGCCCCACACAGAGCGCACTGCAGTAATCTAGCCCCAAAGTCACCAGTGCAGAGACTACAGTGGTCAGGCTATGTGAGGTGGAATAAAAACTTGCCTGCAATATCTTTGCTTATCTTTTATTTTTAAACAATAATCAAACAGCTGCAACTCACCAGCCAGCACCATACAAAGCATTTGGTCAACTTAAATACAGGTTTCAAAATAATCAATTACCCTATCACATCGCTGCATTTGGTGCAGCAGGTAAACTCCCCCTGCTAATTAGTTAAATTGTTAAGATACCTCAGGTGTACTGTATTGTCAAGAGCTCACAGATGTGCTGCCAAGCAGGTTATAAAACACCATCGCTCACAACAAAATCTCAAGCATGCTGAAAGGAGGGCCATAGACAATCTCAGGAACAGCCCAGACATTATAATTAAGAAGGCAGACTAGGGTGGAGCTGTTGCCATCATGAACAAAACTGATTAATTCAGGAGGCTCACAGGCAACTCTCCAGTGCCGCCTTTTACAAAAAACTGGACTCAGACCCCACACAGGAATACAAAAAAGAACTGAATAAGATTGTTAAAGAGCTACCCCCCACCCACATCCAAGAACAGATCCACTCAAACACACCAACAGAACCTGGACCAGGTACCTTCTATCTTCTTCCCAAAATACACAAAGCAGAAAATCCAGGACGCCCCATCATCTCAGGTATTGGCACTATCACAGTAGGTGTTTCTGGGTATAATTACAAACACACACCTCTGAGTAGCACCAGTGACCACCTCAATATTAAGAAAACCCAACAGGCTGTCCCATCTAGGAACAGCTGTAGTTGGTGAACCAGATGAAGCTGGTAAAAGGCAACTTAGCCACACACTTGGGCCTTTAGTGACACTGATGTATTCAGGAGTACCCTCAGGCTATGCACCTGCTCCTTCAGAGGGAATACAACCCCATCCAGAACAGGTAACTTGCCAATTTCCTAAACATGGGAAGCCACCCACCCCAAAGGAGCCTCTGCCTTCCCAGGGTTCAAAGGCAGATAAGGGATCACAATGGGAATTTCAGCAGTGGCTGGGAAGTGGGGGTGAAGAGAGAAAAAAGAGCTACCGGAAGGTAATAAAGGGAAGGATTTGAGGAAATGCAGGTAGCATTTCGGTTGGGTTTCATCTGAGGCAACACCTGCAGAGCCACAGATGCCCCGCCACAGCTTTAAGGAACTACAGTAGTACCTTGGAAGTCAAACGGAATCCATTCCGGAAGTCCGTTCGACTTCCAAAACTTTCGGAAACCAAAGCGCGGCTTCTGATTGGCTGCAGGGATGTCCTGCAGCCAATCGAAAGCTGCAGAAGCCCAGCCGGACATTCAGCTTCCAAAAAGCATTCGCAAACCGGAACAGTCACTTCCAGGTTTGCGGTGTTCAGGAGCCAAAACATTTGAGAAATAAGCTGTTTGAAAACCAGCCACTCTGAGAGCCACAGCTGAAGAGCAGCTACCATACACTTTAATAAACTAATTGTATTTTATTTGGGGCTCTATGCAAGTTCTAAACAAGACCTGTTTTCTCAGTGATTTTGCAATGTTTGAAAGCAGCGCCGAATGCACTCATAACCCATTTCCTTCTTCCTGGTATGAGGCAGCATTAAATAAAATTGCTAAGAAATAATTGAGAAACTGGAAGCAGAAAACGTACAAGGGTGCTTGTGTTTTAGGAGCAATGTGTCCTTTCTGACCTGCGATGACAAGAGAATGTAGATTTGTTGTTATTGACGCAATTGGGCAAACATCCCAGTCCAGAAATTTGTGCCAAGCATCCGTTTTCCACAGCTGCCTTCCTATAGGATTCAGGCTAGGGTTTAAGACAATCCTGGGGGACAGCCCCTGTGGTGCAAAAGCAACACAAAAGTACCCCCAAGCTGATTAAACCAGCTTGAATGGCTTTCTAAAATTTGTTTTATGGGGGACAGATGGAGAGACCCAGGGTTGGTGTAGTGGTTAAGAGTTCTGGACTAGGACCTGGGAGACTGGGGTTCAAATCCCCCACTTGGCCATAGGATGTTCACTGAGTGATCCTGGGAGGCTTGCTGCCTGTCATAGCATAACCAACCTCACAGGGTTGTTGTGAGCTTTATAAAATAAGGAGGGGAGCAGGTGGAGAAAACCACACATGCCTTTCCTGAGCTCCTTGGAGGAACAGTGGGATAGAAATTCATTAAATTTGTTTCTTTCATTGAACAAAATTTATATACGGCACTTGATGGCGCAGCAAAACCTCTAAGCAGGTTACAAAGACATATTAAAACCATCAATAAAGAAACAGGTAAAGACAATGAAAAGCAGCTACAAATAATTGAAAAGGATTGAAACATGTCAGCATCTATGTGTCTGGATGCAGTAACATTTAACATGTTTTAACGGACACATAAATAAAATGTAATAATAGATAAACAAATCTTTCACCAGCTATGAGCCCAACAAAACCTCCATTGACAGGTGCAGTATACCTCTGAATGCCAGATGTTATGGGCATAGCCCCCCCCCCCATTTGTGAGCTCTTCAGAGGCATTTGGTTAGCTGCAGTCACAAAACAGGATGCTGGATTTTTGGGGCGGTCCAGCAAAATAATCCTTAATATTCTTAGAAGTGCCTCTGAGCATGTGAGAAGGACCCTTCCCTCCCTACCAAGCCTCTACCACAACATGCTTAAGATATTCGGTTGTCTCCCACGTTAGTCTTACTTAGGTCGATTAACTTCAATGGGTCTACTTTTGAGTAGAGCTTAGTTATATCCACCTAAATTGGCTACAGCCCAATGTCTTGGCATATTAAAATAATGTACATGCAAATAATAAAATCCTTGAAAGTTTCTGGTCCAGTGTAAGATTCGGTGAGAGCCAATCTTGATTGAAAAATGGAGTAAAACATCATCTGTCAAAGGAATGGAAAAACAACAACAGACCACATATATAAGATATATACAAAGGCCAGTGAAATGCCACTGGAGATTTGTCAACTTCCTGAACCAGTAACATGTCACAATGCCATTATCACTACGGTAATTCTCTTTAAGAAGCCCTAAGCAAACAGGGAAAATATAATTTTGTATATTAATCATTGAAGCCGACAGCGTTTAATATATTCAACGTCTAAGCTGACCGCTTTTTTAAAAATGTCCAATTATATTAAGCAGCAACGCTTCTGGGGACGGGGTTGTTTAGCCAATATGCAACAATCATTAAAAAAGACTTGGCTAATTAAAAATCTGCCCCCCCCCACAGCCATCCACTCAATATGCAACATTCATTAAAAAGAACCTCAGCTAATTAAAAAAAATTGCTCCTCCCCAAGCTCTGTAAATGCCCCCGAGACCACCACACGATTAACACAGAGACCCTCTGCAAACACAGCTGGACTTTTGACAAAATTAATTGCCCCCTTATGGCTTACAGAATGAAAAACTGGAAGGAAGTGGTGGTCTCTGCCCGCAGGAACCTGGTAAACATTTTATAACCTTTGATGCATAATTGCTTGTGGGTCTGGGGGGTGTTTTTTGGTGCGAGGGGAGGGAAAGAAACTCTCACAACAGCCAAGGATGGTTCGCAAGGAGTCAGGAATAGCTGGGAGTTTTAGAATTCCTCAAGGCCTTCTTGATTTTTTTCCCCTCCCCAAAACTCACAGAGTAGGATTTTGACAGCCTATTTGCAAATAGATCCATAAGCACACAGTGCCCCACACAACCTCTCCCTCAAGGCTGCGAGGGGGGGGGCCCACTGATGAGATGCCAAAAAATGGAGATCAACTTTCAAGGCCACCACAAAGGACTCTGTTTTATTCATTATTGGCCGCAGACCAAAGAAAACAGACCCATAAAAATCTCCAGAGCTAAGACTCTTATGATCTCCCAGGAGCTGCCTTGTCTCTCTCTGACATCACAGCAGCTAAGCCAATAGCAGCTAGCTAGGGAACATCCTCACTTTTGACTTTCAGGTGTCTCTTGAAAAAAAAAAATTTAATGACAACAGCCCTGTGAATTTTTCTTTTAAAAAAATAGTGAGTAGCAAGTCATTTTAATGGTTGTTTTGTGCTTCTCGTAATGCTTTAAAAACACACTGATATTGCTGCAAGCTGTTCTAATATTTTGTTGGGTGGTACAGAAATACTTTTGTAAATAAATAAACACCTGCTTGCCACTTCTCACCCTAGTGAGACCAGCCAATGAAGCTGACCAGTAGAACTTCAGGACCTTGATGCAGTACCATGAATCTAAAAGAACAGGTATTTCACACTGCACGCAAGGAACAATAAAATAAGATAAAAACCAGCGTTTGAGGAAAGTTACTACTTTCATGAGTTATGCATCAGCAGATATGTTTTGCATTCTTTAGGGCAGTGTTCCCCAACCTTGGGCCTCCAGCTGTTTTTGGACTACAACTCCCATCATCCCTCGCTAGCAAGACCAGTGGTCAAGGATGATGGGAATTGTAGTCCAAAAACAGCTGGAGGCCCAAGGTTGGGGAACACTGCTTTAGGGGAGCTCTTAAAAAGGCAGGTTTGCAAAACAATCTGGATTACACTTTTAGTTTCATTTTTAAGAAAACCCCAGAATGACAAGACCAGTGACTGGTCATGATTGGGCAAATCTGTGGAGCACGACGACATCAGAGAGGACACACAGAGAGAAGTGAATGAATGATGTTTCCTTCCCAGCTCAGGAAATAGTGAAGTAATCACTGGTCATCATGTAAAAGGAATCCAACCTGAAACATCTGTTCTCTTTTTGGTTCTCTGTTTGCTCAGTCGTTGCCATTTCCTTGTTCTCTTTGCCTAGGTGATTGTTGTGAAATTCAAGAAAGGACACCACCACTACCTCTCAAAAATGTGCCAAGTGGTCAGGACAAGGATAGCCTAACTTCTGTTGCCTATGCTCTGGTAACCTCTAAATTAGATTACTATAACATGTTATATGCGAGGCGGCCTCTGAAGATGGTTTGGAAGTATCAGCTGGTGCAGAATTCAGCAGCCAAGTTGCTCACCGGGGCAAGACGGTTTGAGCACATAATGCCAATCGTGGCCTGACTGCACTGGCTGCCAATTAGTTTCTGGGTCCAGTTCAAAGTGTTTTGACTTATAAAGCCTTAAACAGCTCAGGACCACAATACCTCAAAGGCCGCCTCTCCCCATATAAACTGACCTGGACCCTGTGATCATCATCTGAGGCCCTCCTTCCTCTGTGAGAGGTCCAGAGGGTGGCAACACGAGAACGGGGCCTTTTCTGCAGTGGCCCCCGTTTGTGGAATGCTCTCCTCAGGGAGGCTCACCTGGTGCCTTCATTACATCTCTTTAGGCGCCAGGCGAAAATGTTTCTCTGGCCTTTTCTATGTGTCTATGGGAGAAGAGTTATTGATTTTGATTTTGTTTATTATGTATTCTGTGTTTTCATTTTGTATTTTTATACTGGGAACTGTCCTGGGATCTTTGGATAAAGGGCAGTATACAAATGTAATAAATAAGAACAAAATCAGAACAACTATTTAATAAGAGCCCAAGTTTGATTTTCTCCTCTTCCCTCCCTATCCCTGTTTCCTTTTATGCTGTTTGTTTGTTTATTTCTATATGTAGATTACAAGCCTGCCTTGTCTTGACTGATTGTATGCAAGTCAGGCTGGAAGCCTTTCTGGCTGGAAATGCTGTAAATAAACAAATGTGAGGATAATGACATGTTAAAGAAAAACTTGGTTCCCTCTCATAATACTAGCACTTGGGACCATCCGCTGAAGCTGAATGTTGGAAGACTCAGGGCAGATAACAGAAAGGCCTTATCTGCACAGCACAGAGTTAATCTATGGATCTCACTCCCACAGGAGGCAGCAACAGCTTTAAAAGGACTGCTTTAAAAGAGGATCGGACAAATTCATGATAAAGGTAAAAAAAGTAAAGGGAGAGGGAGCCGGCGTTTGTCCACAGACAGCTTTCCGGGTCATGTGGCCAGAGGACTAAACCACTTCTGGCGCAACGGGACACCGTGATGGAAGCCAGAGCGCACAGAAATGCCGTTAACCTTCTTGCCACAGTGGTACCTATTTATCTACTTGCACCGGTGTGCTTTCGAACTGCTAGGTTGGCAGAAGCTGAGACAGAGCACCCCGTCGCAGGGATTCAAACCATCAACCTTCCATTCGGCAAGCCCAGGAGACGGCTATTGATGGCTACTGGTCCTGATGTCTACGCTCTGCCTCCTAGGGCTGCCACCTTTGGTCAGGCAAAATACAGGATGGGTCAGAGGGTGGGGATTGGGGGGCACACACACACTCATAATACCAAATGTTCCACTTTCCTGCCTCCCTCACCACCCTGGCCCCGCTTTCCCTCTTGACTCACGAGGATGGGCAGAGGCCAGAGGTAGACGGCCGGTTCCCACGGGTGACTTGAACTGCAGCTCCAGCCTCTCGCCCATGCTGGGGTCGGAAGAGACTCAAGCGCAGAGGGAGGAGGAGAGGTCAGGTCAGGTCAGGGCGGTGGAGAGGGCCCAACAGTGGCGGACTTTTGTCCCAAAACAGGGCGACCCTGTCTTTCTAGGGACAGGTGGCAACCTTAACCTCCAATGTCGGTACTGTAAATCTTCTGAAATGTCTGAATCCCAATTGCTGGAGAACAGGATGCTGGACTAGGTGGGCCACTGGTCTGATCCAGCAGGACTCTCAGTCTTCTGTTATCAGTAAGTCCTTGCTTAGGGGTCAGCAAGCTTTATCTTGCCTGGGCCGGATTGGTCTTGCGGAGATCCCTCCGTGGCCCAGATCGAGAGAGAGACGATTTTCAGCGTCTGCACAGATGCGATTTTCGGCACCGCGAAGACGAGTCCCCATGCCGCGCTGCGGCAGTTTAGCGCAGCACCAGACTGGGCAACTTGGTTCGGGGGTGGCTCCTGGGCCGGTCAAATGACCTCTGTGGGCTGCTTCCGGCCCATGGGCCTTAGGTTACTGACCCCTGTCCTTGCTTATTTAACATTGGACACACACACACACACACACACACACAGACTTCCCCAAAGAAAATATACAGTAACCCATTTTATCTAGCCTTGAGACAGAAAAAAATCAGCTGCTTGGGAGTTTGCTGGCAGCCCTAGAAGAATGTAGCGGGCAGGCATGGATTTACGTAAAAGATAAGTTAAGAATTCCCTTGTTGGATCGAGCCAAAAAGCCTGTAGACCAGCTTCCAGTTGTCAGCCAGAAATCATAAACAGGGCACAGAGATAAAAGCTCCTGTGTTGCTTTTTTTTCCTGAAGCAACTGCTAATTCCAAGGTATACTGTCCGTGAAGAAGGAGGCTCCCTCAGTTCAGCTTTGTTTCCTGGAGACAGAGGCACAACGCTAGCAAGCACCTCTGCAAACGCATGTCCACTTTGCTCATTGTCAGTCCCAACGACTCATCAGGGTCTTTAATCTGCAGTTTAAAGCTGCAGTTGTACACAGAACTCACTTATATGGGAGCAAGCCCCGCCGAATTTACTTCTGAGTACATATTACAGGGCTACTGCACCTTTAATGGAAGCAGGAAACTACTATTAAGGGTGCACGAGCTCCATCCTCTGGCATAGCTCAACATCCAAGTTTCATTCATGCAAAAAGGGTTGCCTCTTCGGGAGCAGACTTTGGATCTCGGAAGCTTCTGGCACAGCTTTCTTGCTTCTCTCAAAATCTCCTAAAAAGAATGCTGCGGGGATTTTAGGATTCGCCATGTAAGAAAATCACATCAACCCCACTCTCTTGGGGGTCTCCCCATAAAAGGAGAAGATATATAAGCAAACTCTGCTTAGACATGTGGGGGGGGGGTTGGGAGAGAGGGAAAGAAAACCTGTTTTTAGTAGCACTTACGTTTTAATAATTAACCAACCCGATCATAGCACAGAACCTTTGATTTGCAAGGCTGCTAAAAAACAAAGCAGTTTTAAATTCCGTCTCACAATGCCCTCCCCAAGTTAAGAGCCATGCTGTCGCTCTCTAAATTTCAACAGGCACTATCCACTTAGAAACTTTATCTGCGCATTTGTGAGTAGACACGGAGAAACAAAGCCCACTCTCCCTGCAGCTAGGAAGTTAACACATCAAGGAAGAGGACCCGTGCTCAGAAATCATCCTGATGAGCTAGGTTTCTACGGAAGGGGGGGGCATTAATAAAGGACATCTCCCATTATGTGCATTTTGCTAACCAGATAAATCAGCTCAGCAGGCAGGCACGCTGAGAGGCCTAGGGACGCATCTGATATTGGTGCTGTGTAATAAGATCACCTTCAGCATGACCCTGCAAGGTAGGCCACCGTCACCTCCATTTGACAGAAAGAAAAAACCAGGCTCAGAAGCTCAGAAGCTACTCAAAGCCAAATATCAAGTCTGCAGCAAATTAAGACAGCATTCAAACTCATGCCTGACAACTTCAGCTTCTTATATCACACCAAACTACGGTTTGGAAATTTAAATGATGGTACAGCACACACAGGGACGCAGGTGGCGCTGTGGGTTAAAGCCTCAGCACGTAGGACTTGCCGATCGAAAGGTCGGCGGTTCGAATCCCTGCGGCGGGGTGCGCTCCTGTCGTTCGGTCCCAGCGCCTGCCAACCTAGCAGTTCGAAAGCACCCCCGGGTGCAAGTAGATAAATAGGGACCGCTTACTAGCGGGAAGGTAAATGGTGTTTCCGTGTGCGGCTCTGGCTCGCCAGAGCAGCGATGTCACGCTGGCCACGTGACCCGGAAGTGTCTCCGGACAGCACTGGCTCCCGGCCTATAGAGTGAGATGAGCACACAACCCTAGAGTCTGGCAAGACTGGCCCGTACGGGCAGGGGTACCTTTACCTTACAGCACACATGTCAGCAACACAGACCTGGCATGTGGCCCTCGGGGGGGGGTTTCAGAGCAGCCCCCTGGGGGCCCAAGTGGTACTTTCTGTGTGCCCTTGCATATGAGAGCGCGCTACAATCACCAGCCACAGCCTCTACCCCTGGCATGCGGCCCTCAACTGCCCATCCATCATTGCAAGTGGCCCTCGAGGGAGGTTGCCCGCCCCCAATATAGCATAATGTACAAACTGCTCAACCCAAGCCTACAATTAACTGTTACACCAGAACAACCACCTGTGGTCTGAAGTTGGTTTTGCAAACCATAGTTCATGCTAACTGTGGTTTGCTGCAACCCAATTGTGTGCAGGGGGGTAGTTTTTGCAGCGGCTGCTCTGCCTCGTAAGGCCACTGCACCTTAGAAGTGGCAGAGCCAAGCAGACAGAAGAGGAGAGCTAACTGGTGCCTGTAAACAATGGTTTGTTTGTTTATAATATAATAATAATAATAATTTATTATTTATACCCTGCCCATCCGGCTGGGTTTCCCCAACCACTCTGGGTGGCTTCCAACAAAATACTAAAAATACAATAAAACATCAGACATTAAAAACTTCCTTAAACAGGGCTGCCTTCAGATGTCTTCTAAAAGTCAGATAGTTGTTTATTTCCTTGACATCTGATGGGGGGCGTTCCACAGGGCGGGCACCACCACCAAGAAGGCCCTCTGCCTGGTTCCCTTTAACTTGGCCTCTCACAGCGAGGGAACCACCAGAAGGCCCTCAGAGCTGGACCTCAGTGTCTGGGCTGAACAATGGAGATGGGAGACGCTCCTTCAGATATACTGGACCGAGGCCGTTTAGGGCTTTCAAGGTCAGCACCAACACTTTGAATTGTGCTCGGAAACGTACTGGGAGTTTTTCCAGACCGGTGTTATGTGGTCTCGGCGGCCACTCCCAGTCACCAGTCTAGCTGTTGCATTCTGGATTAATTGCAGTTTCCGGGTCACCTTCAAAGGTAGCCCCATGTAGAGTGCACTGCAGTATTCCAAGTGGGAGATAAACAGAGCATGCACCACTCGGGCGAGACACTCTTGTTTGTATCTCTGGAAGTGCAAACCATGATTGGGGGGGGGGTATAGTTCCAGTCTACCGTTAGATAGATACCATTTTAGATACCAGATATCATTTGAGATACCAGGCAAAAGGACAGAAGGAGGATAATTTTTGATATTGTGGCAAAAACGTATTGAATGTGAATGAAAATATGAATGCGAATGGAATTGGAGGATGTGCTGCTTTTACTAGAAAGATTTCTACCTCGTTATTTCGAGGATGTACTCAGTATCTACAAAAACCCAGGGACATAAAGCAAAAACAAGGCAGCGTTAGAACCTTGCAGGCCTTTTCCCAACTGCCCTGCGAGACCGGGCCCCTGACTGACTCCAGCTACAAAAACTGAGGCTGCTGAACAGACTCTTGGGCTGGGGTATTGCTTGGGGGCAGTTTGTTGCTGTTATTTGTATTAATTTTTTGTCTCTTTGTTTTAGATCTTATTATGATTTATGTGGAAATTGTTCAATTTTGTTGTGTATTTTTTACGTTTATTGTTTATGACTACTTCTGTTATGGGACACGGGTGGAGCTGTGGGTTAAACCACAGAGCCTAGGACTTGCCGATCGGAAGGTCGGCGGTTCGAATCCCCACAATGGGGTGAGCTCCCGTTGCTCGGTCCCTGCTCCTGCCCACCTAGCAGTTCGAAAGCACATCAAAGTGCAAGTAGATAAATAGGTACCGCTCCGGCAGGAAGGTAAACGGCGTTTCCGTGCGCTGCTCTGGTTTGCCAGAAGCAGCTTAGTCATGCTGGCCACATGACCCGGAAGCTGTACGCCGGCTCCCTTGGCCAATAAAGTGAGATGAGCGCCGCAACCCCAGGGTCAGCCACAACTGGACTTAATGGTCAGGGGTCCGTTTACCTTTACCTTTACTTCTGTTACGTCTGTAATGATGTATTTTTTCATGCTGTAAGCCGCCTTGAGCATGGTTTGAACTATGGAAAGGCGACATACAAATAAAATGATGTATGTATGTATGTATGTATGTTAGCCCAAACTAAGAACAGAACCTTAAACGTGATCAGATCGTCATGTGATGACCTCCATACTTAACCACAAGCATCGCAGGTTTGGGTTTCCCCTAGAGATGACAATCTAGGCCAGAGACAGCAATAAAAACTGCCACTAACAGGAATTTTGTGGGTCACGGCCGAGTGTGGATTTCGACATATTGGAGGACAGTGTTTTGCATCACATGGGGTGTCGGGGTGGGGAGGAGTTCCTTGGGGGAGGCTGAAATATCTGAACGGTTGTCACATGGACGGTGGAGGAAGCTCATTTTCTGCTGCTCCAGAGGCTAGGACGTGAACCGATGGATTCAAATGGCAAGCAAGGCAATCCCAACTAAATATCTGGAAGAACTTTCTGGGGGTGAGAGCTGTTTGAAAGTGGAAGGGACTCCCTCAGAAGGTGGTAGTAGACTCTCCTTCCTCGGAGGTTTTTAAGCAGAGGTTGGGTGGCCATCTGTCAGGGATTCTTCAGCTAAGATTCCTGCATTGCAGGGGGTTGGACTAGATGGCCCTTGGGGTTCCCTTCACACTCTACCACTCTTTGATGCTATAAAGCTGTCCGAGTACATCAGCCCGGGTGAAGGGGCAGAGAAAAATTCAAAGGGGAACAAGAGTCATGGAGCTGCCCAGAGCAGCTGAGGCAACCCAGTGAGATGGGCGGGGTACAAATAGATGATGATGATGATGATGATGATTATGGAGTGCATGTTTAGAGAGCCAGTGCACAAACATTGCACATGGATGGACATTCAGGACCCAGAACCCAGATGCAATGGAAAAGCAGGGATCCCAGGCACACCCTCCCCCTCTCAGAAACGCACCAGCCATTCCTCGCTTACTTATCTTTCACAAGGAATAGAATACAGTGGTACCTCGGGTTAAGTACTTAATTCGTTCCAGAGGTCCGTTCTTCACCTGAAACTGTTCTTAACCTGAAGCACCACTTTAGTTAATGGAGCCTCCTGCTGCCGCCGCGCCTCCGGAGCACAATTTCTGTTCTCATCCTGAAGCAAAGTTCTTAACCTGAAGCACTATTTCTGGGTTAGCAGAGCCTGTAACCTGAAGCGTATGTAACCCGAGATACCACTGTAGAAGAAGAGGTTCAATGCGTATTTTACAAACCATTGCCCGTAACAAAGAATATGCGTCCTAAGCATCAACTCCTCTAGGAAATTTCCCAGGCTGCCAAATATACAAGTTGCCCCGGGTGCTTCTCCTTACTAGCGTTGCCAACTTACTAAAACCGTGTTCTCAGGTTCACACGCCTGGTCTGCAGGGCAGCGTGGTGCAGGAGTTAGAATGTCAGTCTCGGCCCAGGGTTCGAATGACAAGTTGGCCATGAAGCTCACTGGGTGACGTTGGGCCAGTCACTTACTCTCAACCTCGGCCAACCTCGCAGGCTTGTGGTGGGGATGAACTGATGAAACCATGCCAACCACCTTGCGCTCCATGGCTCAAAAGGTGGGATAGAAATGCAAGCAAGCAGTGCATCCCCCAACTTCGTACCTGGACACCAGCCCATCTTTGACACACCCACTGCCTCCCACCCAGCCCCCCAGTCCTATCTCTTGCGCCCCCGGACACACCTGCCTCCTACTCAGTTGCCAACTGCACCCAGGTACCAGGCCTTGCGCCCTCCCTTGCGCACGAGCCCCTCTCCCAAGGGAAAGCCCCTTGCGCCATCGCACCTCCTCCTACCCCGCTCGCTTTCCTCTCCTGCGCCTACCTTCAGGTTCACCGCCGGCACTTCCATGACGCCCCGCCAGCCGCCCCAGCGCAGCGTTCGCGCCGCGCCGCTTCTGGCTCCCAAATTCGACTTGGCATCACTTCCTCGCCTTCCGTTTTTCCCTTCCCGGCCGGGCTCCGCCCCGTCCAGCCCTGCCGAGGACCCGTGACTCCCTCCAGGCGGGGAGGGAGAGGCTCCTCCTTCGGCAAGAGGGCAGCGCCAAAGCCCGGCCAGCTCCAGGAACCGGAGCCGCTCCGGAGTGGCGCCCCTTTTGGCCACCGCCGCTCTCTGGCTCAGAGCAAAGCCACCTCGTGGTATGCGACAGTGCCGGATTTAGTACAGTGGTACCTTGCCAACAAGGCTGTATATTGTCTCCCTGCTTATTTAACTTATACAGTATGCAGAATTCATCATGCGAAAGGCTGGGCTGGATGAATCCCTAGCCGGAATTAAGATTGCCGGAAGAAATATCAACAAGCTCAGATATGCAGATGACACAACCTTGATGGCAGAAAGTGAGGAGGAATTAAGGAACCTTTTAATGAGGGTGAAAGAGGAGAGCACAAAATATGGTCTGAAGCTCAACATCAAAAAAACGAAGATCATGGCCACTGGTCCCATCACCTCCTGGCAAATAGAAGGGGAAGAAATGGAGGCAGTGAGAGATTTCACTTTCTTGGGCTCCATGATCACTGCAGATGGTGACAGCAGTCACGAAATTAAAAGACGCCTGCTTCTTAGGAGAAAAGCAATGACAAACCTAGACAGCATCTAATAAAGCAGAGACATCACCTTGCCAACAAAGGTCCGTATAGTTCAAGCTCTGGTTTTCCCAGTAGTGATGTATGGAAGTGAGAGCTGGACCATAAAGAAGGCTGGTCACCGAAGAATTGATGCTTTTGAATTATGGTGCTGGAGGAGACTCTTGAGAGTCCCATGGACTGCAAGAAGATCAAACCCATCCATTCTGAAGGAAATCAGCCCTGAGTGCTCACTGGAAGGACAGATCCTGAAGCTGAGGCTCCAATACTTTGGCCACCTCATGAGAAGAGAAGACTCCCTGGAAAAGACCCTGATGTTGGGAAAGATGGAGGGCACAAGGAGAAGGGGAGGACAGAGGACGAGATGGCTGGACAGTGTTCTTGAAGCCACCAGCATGAGTTTGACCAAACTGCAGGAGGCAGTGGAAGACAGGAGTGCCTGGCATGCTCTGGTCCAGGGGGTCACGAAGAGTCGGACACAACTAAACGACTAAACAACAACAACAACCTCGGGTTAAGAACTTAATTCGCTCTGGAGGTCCGTTCTTAACCTGAAACTGTTCTTAACCTGAAGCACCACTTTAGCTAATGGGGCCTCCCGCTGCCGCCACCGCGTGATTTCTGTTCTCATCCTGAAGCAAAGTTCTTAACCCGAGGTACTACAGTGGTACCTCGGGTTACAGACGCTTCAAGTTACAGATTCTGCTAACCCAGAAATAGTACCTCGGCTTAAGAACTTTGCTTCAGGATGAGAACAAAAATCGTGCAGCAGCGGCAGCAGGAGGCCCCAATAACTAAAGTGGTGCTTCAGGTTAAGAACAGTTTCAGGTTAAGAATGGACCTCTGGAACGAATTAAGTTCTTAACCTGAGGTACCACTGTATTTCAGGCTTAGCGGAGTCTGCAACCTGAAGCGTATGTAACCCGAGGTACCACTGTACAGTCATACCTCAAGTTGAATGTGCTTCAGGTTGAGTGTGTTCAAGTTGCGCTCCGCGGTGACCCGGAAGTAATGGAACGCGTTACTTCCGGGTTTCGCCACTCACGCATGCGCAGACGTTCAAAATGATGTCATACGCATGCTTGGAAGCGGTGACACGCGCAGACGCACCATCGCGTCTTGCGTTCCGTTCGGGATGCGAACGGGGCTCCAGAACAGATTCCGTTCGCATCCTGAGGCATCACTGCATAAGATAAACAAGCTATAGCTTAGGCCCCCACTCTCTCGGCCCCCCCTCCAGGGGAAAGAAAACTGAATGTACATTTCCAAAATATAAGATAAAAAACAAATAAAATAAAACCTACATACAGCAACAGTGTTTTGTTTTGTGTTGTGTAGGCTCCTATGATGTAAGTAATGGGCCCGCCTGCTAGCTTGTTCCCTAAAATATCACTAGTTTGCTCATTTCTATATATAGGGTACCTACATTCTGCATGGCAACATGTAGCATGCCTATATTATTATTTACTAGTACAGTTCCCTGTTACCCCCACTTGCTACTACCTTCAGTAGCTTAGGGCCTCATCAAACCCAAATCCGGCCCTGGATACGAAGGGGCCTCTCTGAGCATGTACGGAGAGCGTTTCCCACTTCCTCCAAGTTAGGATTTCAGTGCTGGCACCCCGAGAAACACACACAAAAGCCGCAGTTTATAAAACCAAACTCTCAAATCTGAATTATTTCCTGCCTTGTGTGAAGGCGGAGGGTTGTATTCACGGAATTAATTGATGTTGTCGCCTTCTGCCGGCCAAAATAATGCAACAATTATTGGTGCCGCTAGCTGTGAGGTGTCTCTGACCATGGGCAGAGTGCCATCCCACCCACGCCTGGAACAAAAGGCTTTTTTTGCCTTTTAAAAGACTTTTAAGGTCTGTGTTCCACTGAGCACATGCAGAGTAACTCCCCTCCCCCAGGGACTAAAACCCAAAGGGGTTTAAGGTAAAGGTAAAGGGAACCCTGACCATTAGGTCCAGTCGTGGCCGACTCTGGGGTTGCGGCACTCATCTCGCTTTATTGGCCGAGGGAGCCGGTGTACAGCTTCCGCTTGTGGCCAGCATGACTAAGCCGCTTCTGGCGAACCAGAGCAGCGCACGGAAACGCCGTTTACCTTCCCGCCGGAGCGGTACCTATTTATCTACTTGCACTTTGACGCACTTTCGAACTGCTAGGTTGGCAGGAGCAGGGACAGAGCAACGGGAGCTCACCCCATTGCGGGGATTCGAACCACCAACCTTCTGATCAGCAAGTCCTAGGCACCACCCGCGTCCCTCCAAAGGTGTTTATGGGGGGAAATAGAGCGTGTACAGAGAACCTCTGCTGCGGCCCATCCTACTCAAAACCCCACTTTCCTAGGCTAGCAAAATTCCCCGCTCCTCCTCCAATGCTAACCGAAGCAATGTAGCAATTTTAATCTGTTTGTGCCCTGGGTATCATTTCTTTGCGGCCTTGCAGAGTTTTCACACCCAGTTTTCTTCTGCAGGAGTGATAAAGCAGGACAGCGAGAATCCTTGCAGGAAAGATAAGGGGCAGAGAGTTACAAAAAGGGGTTTGCACCAGGAGTCCTTTGCGAAAGGAGAGGTCGCCGGTCCGTGGCAGAGCATCTCCTCTGCCCGCCCAGGCTCCCAGCTTCATTCCCCAGTTTCTCCAGCAAGGACTGGCCATGTCCCCTGCCTGAAACCCTGGAGAGCTGCTGCCAGTCAGTGCAGGCTCTACTAAGCTCTTTCCTGTTACAAAGCAGTTTCCTAGGAGAGGTGGAGTGTCTGTTTTTCATGAAGATGGTCCTGAGTTCAGACTCCAGGAATGGCTGGGAGAGACTCTTGCCTGAAATCCCAGAGTGCCCTTGCTGCCTGCCTGTCAGTCATCATCATCATCATCATTTATTACTTCTACCCCACCCATCTGGCTGGGTTTCCCCAGCCACTCTGGGCTGCTCCTAACAGAATATCAAAAATACAATAAAACATCAGACACTAAAAACTTCCCTAAACAGGGCTGCCTTCAGATGTCTTCAACCACCTGTGGTCTGAAGTTGGTTTTGCAAACCATAGTTCATGCTAACTGTGATTTGCTGCAACCCAATTGTGTGCAGGGGGAGTAATATTTGCAGCCACTGCTCTGCTTCGTAAAGCCACTGCACCTTAAAACTGGCAGAGCCACATGGACAGAAGACAAGAGTTAACTAGTGCCTGTAAACGATGGTTTGTTTATAATATAATAAAAATTTATTATTTTTACCCTGCCCATCTGGATGGGTTTCCCCAACCACTCTGGGTGACTTCCAACAAAATATTAAAAATATAATAAAACATCAGACATTAAAAACTTCCTTAAACAGGGCTGCCTTCAGATGCCTTCTAAAAGTCTGGTAGTTGTTCTCTTTGACATCTGCTGGGAGGGCGTTCCACAGGGTGGGCGCCACTACCGAGAAGGCCCTCTGCCTGGTTCCCTGTAGCTTTGCTTCTTGCAATGAGGGAACCGTCAGAAGGCCCTCGGCGCTGGACCTCAGAGTCCGGGCAGAACGATGGGGTGGAGACGCTCCTTCAGGTATACTGGGCTGAGGCCATTTAGGGCTTTCAAGGTCAGCACCAACACTTTGAATTGTGCTCGGAAACGTACTGGGAGCCAATGTAGGTCTTTCAGGACCAGTGTTATGTGGTCTTGGTGGCCGCTCCCAGTCACCAGTCTAACTGCCGCGTTCTGGATTAATTGCAGTTTCCGGGTCACCTTCAAAGGTAGCCCCACATAGAGCTCATTGAAGTAGTCCAAGCGGGAGATAACTAGAGCAGTCTGTGTACGCAATACTAAACCAGCTAAAGCAATGGCCTGATTCTGCATAAGACACCGTCTTATGTTCCTATTTAAATCAACCCATGCTTTCAAAGCCACGAGGACTAGAATCTTGCTTTATTTATTGGGAAAGGGGCTAAGTTCATTTGGGGTGGGGAAACCCTCTGAAACCCCAGAGACTGCCAGACAGTGCAGACAGGACTGAGCTAGATGGACTGATGATTTAACACAAAAACAAAACCCTGGCCATCTGTTGGCTCAGCATGCAATGATCTTGGATGCTGTTATGGACTGAGTTGAATAGGATCCAAAAGGCAGCAGTCTGATTGGTCCTAGAACAATAGGATTCAGAATGCAGCACTCTGATTGGTCCTAGAACAATAGGATTCAGAATGCAGCAGTCTGATTGGTCCTAGAACAATAGGATTCAGAATGCAGCAGTCTGATTGGTCCTAGAACAATGCAGCAGTATGATTTGTCCACAGGAGCCACCCAATCCAGCTCCAGATGGAAGTGAATCCACAACCTGATTGGCCTACAGGAGAATCCCGGAATTAGCCAATCACGTGCAGCCCATTGTGTAAATAATGTATACAAAGCAGATACTGTGGGGGAACTTCCATTCCTCCTCACCACTATGAGCTGAATAAAGAGCATGAAATCCACTCTCGACTCCGAGTATATTTCAGGTGCTCTGCTGGCACAGGGAGGGAGAAAGGACTGGCCACAGAATGTTGAAGGGCAGTGCAGGTTCCGAAAGCAAAGTGCGAGGTCAGTTTGGCTGGGTGGGAGAGGGTGGCAGGAGGGCACTTGTGAAACAGCCCAGATCTTAGGGGGTGGGTGAGTTTGCTTGCAGCCAGCTCATCTGATTGTTCAAAGAAAAAGGAGCCCGGATGCGGTTGTGTGAAGGATAACTATCTCTTTATTTACATCTCATCAAAATAGGAACATGCAAGCACACCACGGCATTGACTAAAGGGATAACAGGAGGCGATCCACTCCCTGCAACCAGAAACGTTCTTATGCTCTTCACGTGGCAAATATCCCCCCCTTCCCCCACCAAAGGACCCCCCCCAACTCCTCCTAAAATAATGATAAATAACTGAGATTGGAGGGTGCTAACCAAATGAATTAGACGCTGAAAGCCGGCAGGGAATGATTCATTGATTTTAAAAAAGAGACAATGTCCTGGATGAGAAGGAGGGAGGAAGTTAAGACCCAGGTGCTCATAAGCCATGCCATGGCTGCTGGGATTCAAGTTTCTAGACCTGATGGAGGTAAGCTTGGCAATGAACAGGAACCTCTGGGTGAAGAGATGGGGCAGGACTTTGCAGACCTTCTCTCAACTGACAGGAAGCAGAAGCAAATTGATGTGTGCAGACGAATGGATAATAAGCAAAAGTACTAGGAATTGGCTTGATCAAATGCACGAGGTGTGAAATTCAGATTCTCGTGGTGCTTCGTTTGAGTGATGTCTGTGTCCTTCTGAATTTGGGGTCCTTTGCACAGATTGGTGCAGTTATAACAGTGCCTGGCTTGGATTGGGTCCCTGCACATGTATATGAGGTGTCTCTTTGTTCTGGTACATACACCCCAGTCAGTACGCCCAACTGTATACAAGCCAAAGTCTCAAAGGAGCAGACCTGCAGCAGACAGCTCAGGCTGCAGGATTTACTCCTCGCTCCAGACTTCCCAGTTGACACGAGAGGGGTGCAACCCTTGCTGATTCCTTGCTCTCGCTTCCAACAAAAGTTTATCGTTCTGCCCCATGGCTCACTGAGTGTGTATGTGTGTGTGCTTATAGTAGTCAATCGCTCCCGATACAGACACTCCCAGAGGAGTCTGCCTCCAATAAAGAGGGGACTCTCCGCCAGGAACAGCGACTCAGAAAGAGCAGCAACAGGCATACTCCAGCAAGCTCCTCTTGGGAGTGTTTAATTCTTAATTTTAGCAGACCAAATCTGCTAAATCCTTTGGGGAGATGTAGAATTGTGCCTCCGGATTTCATAGCAGCGTAGAATCGATGAGTTGGAAGGGCTGTGTGCCCCAGCCCACTGCAACTGAATTTTGAAAACCTGCCCCTGTTACGCACTTGTCTCAATCCCAGCTTAGCCCACAGTGTCTGAGTCATTTGGTCCGTGTCCCTCCCGGGTGACACTAGTTATAAATTAATCCCTCCTGCTTCCAGGCCCAGAGAAAGCAGCCTGGTACCCTTCTAGACATTAATAAAGGATCCTTGATCTCCATCAGCGGACTCCGGCTCCACACAGCGGCCTTTTCGCCGGGTCACCCTGCGGTTGCGGTGAAATTTGGCGTAGCAGCGTAGGCCTAAATTGGGAGAGAGGGGGAGGCCTTGAGTGAGGAGAACGGCAAATTTGTGATGAGGAAAATTCAACGTTCCCTCACCCCAAGGAGAAGTCAACTTTCTCCCGAGGAAAACAAAAACAGATTTTTACCCCTGATATTGAATATTTAAAAGGTCTAACTGGATATCTAATTTCCAGTCAATAAATCAAATGCATCATTCCCTCCCCTCCACACATTTTTTATCCTCACAACCCCCCTGCAAGGTAGACCAGTCTGAAAGTGAGGCTGACACGCCTAAGCAGGTGCCTCTGTGGCTGCGCTGGCCCTGCCTTGTTCTCGGTCTCTGATGGCAACTCCTCACTCATCTGAGCACCCCATAGGAGAGGCTTGCTCCCCAGTGCTCCCCCCTTCTTGTTATTATTTTATTTTGACTAATAATAATAATAATAATAATATTTATTATTTATACCCCACCCATCTGGCTGGGCCTCCCCAGCCACTCTGGGTGGCTTCCAACAAAATATTGAAATACAGTAATGCATCAAACATTAAAAGCTTCCCTAAACTGGGCTGCCTTCAGATGTCTTCTAAAAGTTTGGTAGTTATTTTTCTCTTTGACATCTGGCGGGAGGGCGTTCCACAGGGCTGGTGCCACCACCGAGAAGGCCCTCTGCCTGGTTCCCTGTAACTTGGCTTCTTGCAGCGAGGGAACCACCAGAAGGCCCTTGGAGCTGGATCTCAGTGTCCGGGCAGAAAGGTAGTATTAATCATAAATAAATGAGAATAAAAATGTGCGCCCCACCACTGAGACCATTCCATTGTAACTAGCCAACCTCCCAAAATTTCAACACCTCTTGCGATGGTTTGATCCCTTTCCGTTTTAACAGTATGATTTCGACAAACACCTTCCACATCTCCTCGAAATATTTCTCCTGCGTATTCCCCGTCTTACCTTAATGGCACATGTTATTTTTATCATTCATAGCTATATCCCACACCTCTTTATACAGTGGAACCTCGGGTTGTGGACGTAATCCGTGACGGAGGCACGTCCGCAACCCCGGTGCGATTTGGCGCTTTGCGCATGCATGAATGGCAAAACCCAGAAGTAACCCGTTCCAGTACTTCCAGGTTTCCCGCGGTCCGCAACCCGAAAACACATAACCTGAAGCGTCCGTAAAATGAGGTATGACTGTACCATCATTCCATTTTATATTCTGCTTGCCCCTTCCGCTTCCTAGCTATCATAATGCATGCAGCTGTCAATAAATTGTGAGCAAGTCCTTCATAGCATGCGACCTTCGATCCCATCGTAAATTGATAATAATGCTACCTCTAGACCAGGCAAAGGCAAACTCAGCCATCTAGATGTTTTGGGACTACAATTCCATCATCCCTGAACACTGGTCCTGTTAGCTAGGGATGATGGGAGTCGTAGTCCTAAAAGATCTGGAGGGCCGAGTTTGCTATGCCTGCTCTAGAACAGTGTTTCCCAACCTTTTTTGGGCAAAGGCACACTTGTTTCATGAAAAAAATCTCGAGGCACACCACCATTACAGCCCGTGACGTCAGCGCGCAGCGTCACACCGGGAGGGACATGAATTGCTAGCAAATTACATAATCACCTCCTTGAGGGCTGGCTCATCTTCTCCGAAGGCAGAACCCCATTAATTAACAGCACAGACTCACACCATAGCCAAGACGAGGGGGGAAAACCTCAGTCATGCACAGTCATGCACATGTGGGGGGCTAAATGAGGGACGAAGACCGGGCAGAGAGCAGGGTTCAAATCACCCCACCTGGCCAGGACAATCCCTGGGTGCTCCCTTGGGCCACTCGCCTGACCCACCTCGCAGGGCTGTTGTTGCGAGGATAACACGGGGAGAACCACGCGCGCCCCCGGCAGCTCCTTGGAGGAGAAAGCGGGCGGATGAATGCAATGCACGAAATATATGAGAGGCGACCAGGTTTTGCAGGTGAGGGGCCCCCGCCAGCCTCCGCTTCCAACACCCGGCGCAACGACGCCGAAGTTTCCCCCCGGCTCGGCTCGGGGAGCAGCGCTGCTCCCCCCGGCTCCCTTCGCCCTCCGGCTCTCTCTGCCGCCCACTGGGGACCCCCTCACCTGCCAAGTCCGGAGCGCCGGTGGAAGTTGCATGCATGCATGCAGGGCGCCGCGTTGCCATTGCATTGCACTGCACTCCATGCAACGCCTGCACGCATGCATTGCCTTGCACGCCCGCCAAGGGGTCTCCCGCGGTCCGATGCGTCCCTCCGGCGCGGATGCAGCATTGCAAAAATAAAACCCCCTGACGCAGCCCTACCTGGGGGGCAGCCTCCGCCTCCGCCGCTCCGCCTCCGCGGGGATCCCCGGGCTCCATCCTGCCGCCCGATCTCCGCGGGGGCGCAGGCAGGCTGTGCGGGGTCTGCGCGAAGAGCCCCTGCCCGCCCGGCCGTCGCCGCTGCGCTCATTCCATGGCCGGGAGAAGAGCGCTCAAACAAAACGCCCGGCCCGCCAGGCCACGATGGGAAACGTAGTTCGCGCACCCGCGCGGGCGCGGAGCCCAAGGGCGAGGGGACTACGGATCCCGGCAGCCCCGCGCCGGGACGGAGGGGGAGAGGCCGGGTGCAGGGATGGAGGGACGGGTGGGCGAGCGAGTGAGTGAGTGGCAGCCGCCAAGCCTTGGCCAAGAGCCAGGAAGGGCCTCCCGGAGGAGGAGGACGAGGAGGGAGGCGCAGAGTGGGAGGGAGGGAGGGAACCCCAGGGGTCATCTAGTGACGGCGCCCCAATCGAAAATTTGACTTTAAAAAAAATCTTTCCAATTTTTTAATTTTTCCCGCGGCACACCAGGCAACATCTCGCGGCACACTAGTGTGCCGCGGAACAGTGGTTTGGGAAACACTGCTCTAGAACACAGTGATTTCTGTTATCTCCTTAAACACCCTATGCCAGAAAAATTTACACCCCCACCACACTTAAACATAATTCCCGGTTTCCTGGCGCTCCCCAGTGCTGTGTCACTGGGGAGGGGTACAGCTTCAACCCTCTCCCACCAGGCAAGCGTCAGCCCTCACCTTCTGTGCACATACAGTCATCGTAGCATTTGTTGTTAAGGCCGCGGTTGTGGGGTTTGCAAAGGTGCTCCCGTAGATCACAGCAACATCCTGCCAATGCAAGAAGGGAAGAAGTTAAGAAGCATCCAAACTCTCTTCTCTAGCGGACCACAGTGTTATGGGTTTTTTGGGGGGGAGGGGGTCAGTCTGGATGACCTCTGAGGATCCCTGCCAAAGGGATCTCTGGCCTCAACCAGAGTCAGGGCATTTTGGGCTGTGGCCCCGATCTGGTGGAGTGCTCTGTCACAAGAGACTAGGGCCCTGCAGGGCCTGCAAGACAGAGCTGTTCCACCAGGCCTTTGGCTGAAGGAGGATATCCTTCAGTAATCCTCACAGAACTCTAGCCCAATGGTTGCCATTTGATTTTGAATTGATTTTAGAATATCGATTTTAGAATGCTGTGTTACTTTTATTGCTGTTAGCTGCTCTGGGCCCGGCTTCGGCTGGGGAGGCTGGGATATAAATACAATTATTATTATTATTATTATTATTATTATTATTATTATTATTATTATTATTATCAAAGTTGTGATCCTGCATATGGGAGACTACAATATACAGGAGAATTGGTCCAGGTCTGGTCAAGATAATGAATAGCTTTAGCAGCTCAGCTAAGTACCCACCACTTGCATCTCAAAAGAGTGGGCTCTGTTGCCATGGAGACAAATAGCTGGGCCTTTCCCTACCTCACCTGTATCCTAAGATGGAGAACAACAGGCCAAGGGGGACTGTGATTCGCGTGAGAGTTTTTTTGGCCGGTGCTGGAAGCTGGAGACACAGAAATGTCTTGCTCCATGCCGTACTTGGGGTGCTCCCCTGGAAACCTAACGGGGAAGCAAGAATCTTTTGGGCTTGTTAATGCCATTAGCTCTTCCATCCCAAGCCCAGGTTGCAGGTGTAAATAAAGCCATATATCTAAAGACACCACAGTCTCCGTCAACAAGGAACCCCCTCAATGCCTGAAGTTTGGGATCATCCACAACGATATAGTCACAGACTCCTGGGTACTATAGTTTGTTAAGAGTGCTGGGAACCTCTATGAGGGGTAAACTACAGTTCCCAGGGTGCTTTGGGGGGAGTCATGTGCTTCAAATGAGCCATGGTGTGGATGTCTTTGCTCTTCTGGATTGGTTGAGGAGGGGCAGGAGGCAGGGCCTGCTCTGCTCAAGACACCACATACAATTCTGCTTGCCTCCACCGTCGCTAGTCCTCATGAAAGCTGCTGCTCACCTGGGAGGCAGTCGAGGTGATGGTCGCAGGACTCTCCCTCGGCGGGGGTGGTTTCGTTGCCCCCGTTCTTACCACGCTGTTTGTCTAGCGGGGGAGAAAGCGAGAAAGGATGAGAAAGGGGGGGGTAAAGGTAAAGGTAAAGGGACCCCTGACCATTAGGTCCAGTCATGACCGACTCTGGGGTTGCAGCGCTCATCTCGCTTTACTGGCCGGGGGAGCCGGCGTACAGCTTCCGGGTCATGTGGCCAGCATGACTAAGCCGCTTCTGACGAACCAGAGCAGCGCATTGAAACACCGTTTACCTTCCTGCTGGAGCGGTACCTATTTATCTACTTGCACTGGTGTGCTTTCGAACTGCTAGGTGGGCAGGAGCAGGGACCGAGCAACGGGAGCTCACCCCATCACAGGGATTCGAACCGCCGACCTTCTGATCGGCAAGTCCTAGGCTCTGTGGTTTAACCCACAGCGCCACCCGCGTCCCAAGGGGGGGGGGGGTAGTGGAGTATAAAGACCTGCGTTTTACATGGGTAGGATTCCCATCCATTGCCCCACCCACTTTTGCCTCTTGCCACACCCACTTTTCATTCTGGCCCCACCCACTGCCGGGAAATGAGCCCAGGAAGGTTGTTCACAAACGTATGAGACCCTCGGGCCTGGTTGCAATTCCGCAAAAAACTAATCTTTTAGCATCGATAGTATACTTTGGAACTCCCTGCCTATTGATGTTAGGCAGGTGCCTCCACTGTACGTCTGGCCAGCTGGTGTGTGTTTTAATCCGGTTTTTAGCTTATTGTCGAGTTTAATTATTTTTGGGAAGGTTTCCCATAGTTGTTTTTGAGTACAGTGGTACCTTGGTTCTCAAACGCCTTGGTTCTCAAATGCCTTGGTACTCAAACGCCTTGGTTCCCAAACACCGAAAACCTGGAAGTAAGTATTCCGGTTTTCGAATGTTTTTCAGAAGCCGAATGTCCGATGCGGTTGTCAGCTATTGTTTCTGGGGCGCCTGCACCAATCACAAGCCATGCCTTGGTTTTCGAACATTTTGGAAGTCAAACGGACTTCCGGAACGGATTAAGTTTGAGAACCAAGGTACCATTGTATTTGGCACTTTTGTTTTTGCTATTTATTTTCCTTTTTTTAAAAAAAAGGCTTTTTCGGTTCATTTGTTTTTGTGACTGTGTGGAACCCAGTTCAGCTACTGATTGATTGATTGACTGACTGACTGACTGACTGCGGAAATGGATAAAAGCCCCCCATCCAAACAATGACTATCATCAGTGCAGGTAAGGAAAAAAAACTAATTTTAAATTTTATCACCTACAATACTGTCTCATTTATTTTATAGTACATTGATTATGGCTTTCATTTTATGGATCAATGGTCTCGTTAGATAGTAAAATTCATGTTAAAACTGCTGTTTTATGGGTTGTTTTTAAAAGTCTGGAAAAGATGAATCCGTTTTGCATTACTTTCTATGGGAAAGCACCCCTTGGTTTTGGAACAGACTTCCGGAACGGATTAAGTTTGAGAACCAAGGTACCACCATATGGGTGTTTATTGTTTTATTCTTTCCGTAAACTGCTTCGAGGGTGTTTTTGGTGTGTTTTTTTTTAAAGCAATCAAGCGGCATAAAAATTTTGTGAAATAAATAACCTGGAGTCCCCTAGGGATCGGGACCTTCTGAGCTACACCCCCACCCACCCCGCAAAAAGGAGATGATAAAACAGGACACACCTTTCTTCCGGATTGAAGGCCACATATCCGGCCGGAGATCTTCGTAGTCAGTCCAGTCAAAGAGCGTCATGTCCAGGGTGGGCATAACGTCGCCTTCCTGCCTGACTCGCACCCGAGGCTGGGCGGACGTTGCGTGGAGGGCAGGGGGCTCCTCGGTGGATGTTTTTACCGTGGGGCCCAGGAAGGAGGTGGGAGGCAAGCCGGCCGAAGACCCCTCCCCGCCGTGAAGGGTCTGAAGCTGCTCCTCAAAGCTTTCGGGTTTCTTGTACAGGGCGCTTGGACCCGGGTCAGAAGCTTTTCCTGCAGGGGGTTGAGAGTGCGAAATCAGAGCGAAAAGAACAATTGGACGGAGAAAAGGTTATTCTCTCTCTCTCGTAGCGCAAGAACCTGATGGCATCCCGTTATTCTTTTTATTACTTGATAAATTTCTATTCCACCCTCCATCCGAGCATCACGGGGCAGTTTACAATATAAAAGCACAAAAATACATAACGCCGTAATGAGAGAAAATAATAACGCCCTTCCTGTGTTGAAGTTGAATGTTGGAAGGTTCAGGACAGGAGGGGGGGAAATACTTTTCCAGTTAAACTGTGGAACTCCCTCCTGCAGGAGGCAGCAATGGCCATCCGCTTGGATGGCTTTAAAATAATAATAATAATAATAATAATAATAATAATAATAATAATTTATTTATTTATTTATTTGTATCTCGCCCTCCCCGGCCAAAGCCGGGCTCAGAACAGCTAACATCATATTAGCAGAGTCTGTAACCTGAAGCATATGTAACCTGAAGTGTATGTAACCTGAGGTACCACTGTACAGCATTAAATATTAAAAACTTCCCTAAACAGGCAACCCTCCATCACCCCTCGAAGGATACCTCTGTGCTGCCTCAACCTGTCTCTCCGGCTGTGTCGCCTGTGGTCACGGTTCTGCTTCTTCACCCGTTCGGACCCAGGGGCATGGTTTTCCTGCTCAGGATACGGAAACTCAAAGCCCAGGAAAACGTCCTTTTGCCGGAGGCCCGCCGGCCGGTCCGTCCGCCCCGGGTCGTCGACCGATGCCGGCCGGCTCAGCACCCGCAGGCCGGGCCCCTCCCTGCCCCCTCTGGGCGCCGGCATGCCATAATGGGCCCGGTCGTGTTTGCCCAGGCCGCCATGCCCGCGGTGGTGCGCCGTGGTCCTTATCATCGGGTGCGGCCAGGCCTCCCGGCTCGGGAAGCTGTTGCCGACCTCAGGGAGGCTGGGAGGTGCGGCGGGCCCGGGGTCGAGGGAGTCTGTGGGGCAGATGGTCAGGAGGCAGAAGGCAAAGATGGTGGAGGCAGAGGAGGAGGCGGTGCAGGCCATGCTTCCAGGTGCCTCACCTGTAACGGAAGAAGCAGGGTGTCAATTTGCGGTTCCCCAATTGCATTTATTTCCCACCGGTACACCTGTTCAACATCAACTTCATTGGACTGGTCATGTTGTGCGGATGCCTGATGATTGTCTTCCAAAGCAACTGCTCTATTCCGAATTTCAAATGGAAAGCATAATGCCAGGAGTAGAAACAGACGCAGGTATAGCAAGAGAAGATCAGAAAATATTCCTCTATGCCACAGGAGCGGCAAGGATCTTAATTGCTAAAAACTGGAAAAAAGAGACTGTGCCACCAAAAAAGGAATGGCAAGACAAACTGTTAGAGTATATTGAACTGGCTAGATTAACAGAGGCAATTAGAGATCATACTAGACAAGAATTTCAAAAAGCATGGGGAAAATGCAGAAAATACTTCACAAAACAGTGCCCTAAAATTCATACCTGGACTTGTTTCGATTAATGTCTGCAGGAGACTTTGTGGATATTTAAGTTATAATTAGAAAATCTTAATAAAAGGAAACAGCTTATAAGAAGTAAATAAGGATGCCAGAAACAAGATAAAGGAAGTCTTTTATTTGGTTGTTTGTATTGTTGTAAATTATGCTTGTTGTTTGTTAGGTTTGTGTCTGATAGGGGTGGATTTCTGTGTTGGGGGGTGGGGGGTTTGTGTTATGTTGTAAATAAAATTTCCAATAAAAATTATTAAAAAAGGGAAAGCATAATGCCAATGGTCACAAAAGAGGTTTAAAGACTCTCTCAAGGCAATTCTTTAAAAATGTAGTATGAACACCGACAACTGGGGAACACTGGCCTGCGAGTGCTCCACTTGGAGAACAGCCTTGACCAAAGGTGTCATGGGCTTTGAAGACACTCAAACTCAGAGAAACGTGCTAGGAGGAAGGCACACTTGGCAAACCCTCACTGTGATCAACCTACGTCCCCACTGTGGAAGGACAAGTGGATCCAGAATCGGCCTCCACAGTCACTTACGGACTCACTGTTAAAACCGTGTTCATGGAAGACAATCTGACTTGGCTATGAGGGATCGCCGAAGAAGAAGAAGACACCCGTCAGCTCAGGACACACAAGCCTTCTGGAGCACGATTTCTGTTCTCATCCTGAAGCAAAATTCTTAACCTGAAGCACTATTTCTGGTTTAGCAGACTGCGCGAGGCAGTGGAAGACAGAAGTGCCTGGCATGCTCTGGTCCATGGGGTCACGAAGAGTCGGACACGACTAAACGACTAAACAACAACAACAACAGTTCCCATAATTATTTTCCTGGTGGAAAAAATTGGACACAGACACAAGCAGAAACACACACACTTGGAATGCTGCGTCTGCTTTCCTGCACCCAAGAATCAGGGGCAAAGGCGACCCCAGAATGCTTTCATGTGCAAATGAAGGCCATTAATCAACCCAGCGTCTCCCTGTCATAGAAGAGTGACCCTGTGTGCGCAGGGGTGCCTTCCAATAATGCATTGCCGCACGCCAGCTGTTGCGCCCTGCCACATCAGGGATGTCCTGCCAGATCTGGTTGGCACTGCCGGCCTGCCTGTGCTGCACAGCTGGCTTGCCTTCAGTGGAAAAAAGTCAGGAAGTTGAAGATGCTGAAGCAGATGGCGAACAGGTGGCCACCCGACTTGTCACTCACGCATCCGACCTTGGAGCGAAAAATAAAACTCCAGAGGGAAAATCCCTGGCCTTCCCAAAATCGAAAGCCTAGCGATAATCAACCTGCGCCTGGACTGTGACCGCCTTCACGCTGATGGAATGAGCCTCCAAATGACGACAAATGCCTTGCATTTAGAAATCTAGTATAAATGCATTGCACTTAAAAATCTAATGTTATGTAAATGCCTCACATTTAGAAATCTAATATTTCAGGGAGAAGGGTTCAAACTTAGCAGAATCCCTCCGCTGCTATTTACAGTGGTACCTTGGGTTACATGCGCTTCAGGTTACAGACTCCGCTAACCCAGAAATATTACCTCGGGTTAAGAACTTTGCTTCAGGATGAGAACAGAAATCGTGCTCTGGCAGCGCGACAGCAGCAGGAGGCCCCATTAGCTAAAGTGGTGCTTCAGGTTAAGAACAGTTTCGGGTTAAGAATGGACCTCCAGAACGAATTAAGTACGTAACCAGAGGTACCACTGTATTTACTTACGGTGTTGATATACTGTTTCATCATTGGCATTTGCAAGCAGTGTGCATCAGAAAAACCATACAGAGTAACACAAGAAGATCACCATGAAACAAACGTTACCTTCAAACACCTACTGGAATACAAAAGCCTTTGTTGTATGCCTGGTGTGCAGATAGGAAGTTGCCTGCCTAATCTCATGGGGGTGGGAGTTCCGCAGGCTTTGGGCATAAAACAATGAATGCCCAGCTTCTGGTCATTACGAGCCATGCAACCAAGCCATATGGGACCGCCTGTAGACTTCCCCCAGGATTTCAGTGATAGGGTAGGGATATAAGTTGTTAAAGGTAAAGGTAAAGGGACCCCTGATCATTAGGTCCAGTCGTGGCCAACTCTGGGGTTGCGGTGCTCATCTTGCTTTATTGCACTTTGATGTGCTTTCAAACTGCTAGGTTGGCAGGAGCAGGGACTGAGCAACGGGAGCTCACCCCGTCGCGGGGATTCGAACAGCCGACCTTCTGATCAGCAAGTCCTAGGCTCTGTGGTTTAACCCACAGCACTACCCGCATCCCTATAAGTTGTTAAGGGCCTCATAAATTAATGCGAGCATTAGCTTTGGAGCCCTGGAGTTATATGCTCTCAATAGCTTACCCTATCTACAGTCTAGCTGCAGAATTTTGCACAAGCTGGGGCTTCCAGTCTAAGTCCAAGGGCAGCCCCACACAGAACACATTGCAGTAGTCAAGCCTATGTACCTACCTGAACCTTAAGGAGGCCTTTCTCTGTGTTGTTCTCCATCACTCTGAAGTCCAGAGCGAGTTTTGGGTGGCGGCGTCCCTAGCTATGGAATGCCCCACCTAACAGAGCCCACAGAGACACGAGCGCTGCCAGTTTTAAGACTTTTCTGTCCTCCCAGACCTATTTTTTAAAACGTTAGCCTCTGTTGTACTTCTGGTGGTTTTTCATTCCTGTATTTGATGGTGATTTTTCTCCCGCCTGGTTGCCTAGAGAGGCGTTCTAGTGCACCATAGGCGACCAGCCAAGTTGCAATTTCCCTCGGCTCGAGTTTTTCTGTGAAAATTGACAGATCACAGTGGAAGCAACGCCTTGCCCTGAAAGGAAATTGGGGGGGGGGGCGTTGTCAGCCAACACGTTAATGGCAGCCAAGTAAATGTTCCAGGATTTCTCCTCCACCAGAAACGACGTGTTAAAAAAAAGAAAGAAAGAATCGAAAATGACGGAAACCAGATTGGCATCTGTTACTTCACCAAGGCCAAAGAAACAGAGGAACATTATCAACAGCAAGAAACAAGTTGTATCAGCACACACACCCCGCACGTTCTTCCACAAAGCCCCTTTTCTACAAAGATATATCCGAAGGAAGAATTAGATTCTTGATGGGCGGTCACAGTGGCTGGCTCCATGCCATTGTCTTCCCTGATCATCTCACATGCCTGCAGCAGAAAACTTTGGTGGAATAGCAGCAGGGGCTGGTGCAGGTGCAGATTTGGCCCTCCAGGCCGAACTGCTTGGCCCTTCTCACTCCAGGCCACGCCACTTGCCAGTCCGGTTTTGAAACCTCCTAGAGCAGAGGTTTTCGACCTTTTTGGGCCCACAGCTCCCTTAACCAACTACATTATTTCTGCGGCACCCTTGTGGTGCTTCAGAAGCCTAGTTATGTCACACCTTGCCTGTTTTTAATTCTGAAAGTTAAATTGTTGTAAGCTGGCCCAGGACCTTTTGGTGAAGCACAGGTAAAAAGGTAAAGGACCCCTGGATGGTTAAGTCCAGTCAAAGGCGACTATGGGGTAGCGGCACTCATCTCACTTTCAGGCCAAGGGAGCTGGTGTTTGTCCACAAACAGCTTTCTGGGTCATGTGGCCAGCAGGATTAAACTGCTTCTGGCGCAACAGAACACCATGATGGAAACCAGAGTGCACAGAAATGCCATTTTCCACTGAGCCTCTTGGGCTTGTGGATCAGATGGTCGGTGGTTCGAATCTCCCCGATGGGGTGAGCTACCGTTGCTCTGTCCCAGCTCCTCCTAACCTAGCAGTTCAAAAGCACGCCAGTGCAAGTAGATAAATAGGTACTGCTGCAGCGGAAAGGTAAATGGCAGATAAAAATGTATTATTAATATTAATAATTTTATTATTTATACCCTGCCCATCTTGTTGGGTTGCCCCAGCCACTCTGGGTAGTTTCCAACACATATTAAAAATATAATAAAACACCAAACATTAAAAGCTTCCCTATACAGGGCCGCCTTCAGATATCTTTTAAAAGTCAAATAGTTGTTTCTCTCCTTGATGAATCTGATCAGAGGACTTTCCTCAGGGACGGTGCCACTGCTGAGAAGGGCCCTGTGCCTGGTTCCCTATAACCTCACTTCTCACAATGAGGGAACCGCCAGAAGGCCCTTGGAGCTGGATCTCAGTGTCCGGGCCGAACGAGGGGGGTGGAAATGCTCCTTTAGTACTAATAATAATAATAATAAATTTTATTTATATCCCGCCCTCCCCAGCCGAAGCCGGGCTCAGGGCGGCTAACAACACTAAAACAGTACAACATTATAAATACATTCTAAAAATTAATTAAAATACAAATTGATGGCAACCATAGACTAAAGCTTTGTAGAGATTGCCAAAGGAGGGAGTCAGGCTGCGCCCTGACCAAAGGCCTGGTGGAACAGCTCTGTCTTACAGGCCCTGCGAAAAGATGTCAAGTCCCGCAGGGCCCTTGTCTCTTGCGACAGAGCGTTCCACCAGGTTGGAGCCGCAGCCGAAAAAGCTCTGGCTCTAGTTGAGGCCAGCCTAACCTCTCTGTGGCCTGGGACCTTCAAGATGTTTTTATTTGAAGACCGTAAGTTCCTCTTTGTCATACAGTGAAGGGTCCGTATAGAGGTCCAGCCTCTTGAGGTTAAAACACTCATCTTACTCACCGGGAGCCATGCAGCTGTATACACGGATGAATGTGCCCGCAGCGAGCCGAAGATATGCTGCGATCCCCTGATTTGTCAGTTCAAAGGCGCCACGTAGAGGAGTACAAATCTAACACTATACTATAAACACTAGTATTACTACTAAACTACACTAATTATAATATTCGCATAATAATCCTAAATATGCTCTTTCCCAGCCAGATCTGAAAACAAGAAAGTTTTAGACATCAATCGGGAAATTAGCTAATTCGAGATTGCAACGTAGAACTTCCAGGCACTTTTAATATGATTTGGGCTCCTTTTCTTACATATACAACAGAACGATCTTTATGAAGCATCCCATGCCTGTGGCAAATCTGGAGCTATACTGTACTTGATAATCCAATAACACCGATAGTCTTTCCTTGGACTTTTGTTATTTTAGCCCATGTGAAACTGCTTAATCATAGAATTATTGAATCACAGAATTGTAAAGTTGGAAGGGGACCCTAAGGATCATCTAGTCCAACCCCTTGCAATGCAGGAATAAGCAGCTGCCCCATACGGGGATTGAACCTGCAACCTTGGAGTTCTCAGCACCATACTCTGACCAGCTGAGCTATCCAGCCTCTATTTTATACTTTGGGTTTTTTCGTCTTTTACTTTTCAGCTGTTCTCTCGGTTCTATATACATTCCATAATGAAAAATTTAAAAAAATCTTTGAGCGCCACCCACAAATAAAACATAATAATGAATAGTGCAACCTCTGGGTCCACCCGCCCTTGCATGCTTAAAAACTGGGCCAGTTGCACCAGCCAAGACTTATTATCCTCCCCACCCCCACCCCTTAAAAATATCCCACTGTGGCGTATATATATTTGCACAAAGCCGCTTGGCAATCCATCAAGCGAGTTGGCATTTTCGCCGGGCCGGAGGAACAGGTGCGGCGTCGTGCTGGCTGCGCTTTCTCCACGGCGCCCGGGCGAGGGAAGCTTGCGCGCGTCCTTGGGGAAGCGCATTTGAAAGGGGAGAGAGAGAAAGAGCCAGAGCTTGTGCTGAAAAGACGGAGGGAGCCCTCCCCATTTTTATATTTTCCAAAGCGATGAGAGGAAGGAGTCCACCTCCCTCCCTCCCAGTCCCCCGGGTCCCCCCATTGCGCGTCCGAGGCGAGCCCCAATGCGCCACCAGCGGCCGCGCCGTCCGTGCCAAAAACTCCAGGCGCGTCAATGGGACTTGGCAGGGGCGCGCCGGATGATGGACGAGCGTCTCGGAAGCGCCCGTCGGGCCCCGCGCGCACCAGCAGCCGGGCGGCGAGGAGGTTCCCGCAGGAAGGCGGCAAGAGCAGGCGAGACGGGGTCCCATTGTGCCGGGCTCAATGCGGCGAGCCTGCCCCGCTGCGCCGGCCTCCATCTGCTCGCTGCGCGCCCGGGCCTGGGAGAGACGGGGCATGTTTGGAGAGCTCCCGGGACCCCGCCGAGCGCGCGAGGCCTCGGCGCCCCCAGTCCGCTGGCTTTGCAAACTTCCCAAGAGCAGAGAAGAAAAGCGCCCCCTAAGGATCCATTGGAAGCCCCTCTTCTTCTTCTTCTTCTTTTCTGGGGACTGGTCTATTATATCCCACCCCCGACCGTTTCCTGCGCATTCAGCCCGCTCTGAAAGCCGAGGTCGCCCCCTTTGCTTCCACCAGCCTCTCTGTCTTTTAAATTCCTTGCCAACTCCGGCAATTCGTTCTTCACAAACGGCCCACCAAGGACTCCGGACAAGCGCGTATCCTTTCCAACTTGGGGGGCGTCCCCCCCTCCCCAACTTCCCTTTCAAGAACAGAAGAAAAACGCGACTGGATCAGGCCCACCGCCCATCTAGTCCGGCGTCCTGTTCTCACAGTGACCAACCTATTTATAATAATAATTTATTATTTATACCCCGCCCTTCTGGCTGGGTTTCCCCAGCCACTCTGGGTGGCTATTTCTCCCAATCTGGTCATGAATGTACGGCTGATTCTCCTTTTGTCTTATGTTTTTTATTTCATTTTATTTCATTCCAACTCTTCGCATACCACTTAACACTGCCGTTCTCTTTTGCTTGTATACGGTAATTTTTTCTCTTTTGCCTGTATAATTTTTTATTATTTTTTTCAAGCATTTTCACAATAATCTTCATACCCAATGGTTTCATAAATTGACTTTCCACCCCCACTTCTGCAGAGTTTTTCCTGAAACCTTTTCTACTGCATTATATCTCGATCTATTACACAAAGTTTCCCCCAGATAAAGGAAAACAATAGAAATACTTAACTGACCAATCACATCGGTTCTGCCCCCCCAACAAAAACCCTGGCTACGCCCATATTTATTTTTATATTTTACTTTTTATTACATGTGATTGATATAACTTCCAAGCGGTTTTCAAAGAATACAAAAATTAACTAGTAAAAATACCAGTTTAACAGTAAAAAAATTAATTAACACCAGCAGTAAAAAAGAAGAAGAGAAAAACACATTAGCAGCTATGTGTCTGGATTAAGGTAAAGGGACCCCTGACCATTAGGTCCAGTCGTGACCGACTCTGGGGTTGCGGCGCTCATCTCACTTTATTGGCCGAGGGAGCCGGCGTACAGCTTCCGGGTCATGTGGCCAGCATGACTAAGCCGCTTCTGGCGAACCAGAGCAGCACACGGAAACGCCGTTTACCTTCCCGTCGGAGCGGTACCTATTTATCTACTTGCACTTTGACGTGCTTTTGAACTGCTAGGTTGGCAGGAGCAGGGACCAAGCAATGGGAGCTCACCCCATCACAGGGATTCGAACTGCCGACCTTCTGATCGGCAAGCCCTAGGCTGTGTGGTTTAACCCACAGCGCCATAGGTGTTCCTAAAGGAAAATGTTTTAAGCATACAGCAAAAGGATCTGCCTGGTGTCAACAGGCAGGGAGTTCTACAGTTGCCACACTGAAATATCTATTTCTTATAATAGCCGAATGAGTATTACGTGGTACCTGTAAGAGTTCCAGTACTGCAAATCAAAGTGGTCGAGTGCGCAACAGATATAGGGCAACGCATGAAAGTAAACCAGCCCCAATATGTTAAGGGCTTTGTCTACTAATAGGAAGACATTGAACTTGGCCGAGTGCATATCTCTGAGCTGAAAGAGCCTCACTCCTGTCAGCAACTGGGCTGGGGTGTCCTGCACCAACTG